GGGAAACTTCGCCAAAAATAGGGAAAGTTTAGGCGTCCTATGAAAGTGGGAGAAAGGTGAAACGCCCGTCACGTCTGCGCTACAGGCGGTCGCCCTCTGTCCGGAGGCCCTATTCACAAACGCCTATCGTCTTCTCAAGATCCTAGCGACTCTGCGCGTAACAAACGGCAGAAGCTGAGCGCTCGTTCTCTTCACTACGACGGTTGAAAACATACCTGAGAGCGACCACTTCGAATGACTGATTGCTCGGACTAGTGCCACAGGTGCTTTTGAATGTTCTCTGCGACACTAAAGGGCTGAAGTTCAAGCGGTGAGCATCCTGGATATTTTTTGCCGTGAACGCAGGCGGCTGCATTTTATATAGGCGCTTGGTATAAATGAAATGATCAAGAGAGCCTCGAAAGACGAAAGCACGTATTTCTGATCAGTATACAAGGTGTGCTGACCGCAGACTTGTGCCTATCTCAAATACTGTACTCAAGATACTGTATCTTAAATACTTTTTGGAGTATCTTGGTATCTTACAAATACCTTTGATGGAGAGTATTTAATACTCTAATTTAATTACGATTCCTAGTATCTTGTACTCATTATCTTAAATACATTTTTGACATTCCGCCATCTTCCGAGTTTTTCGGTATGAAGTGGGGTGGCGTGGCACGGGCAAACGTGAACATTCTTTCGAGCAATCGAATCCTGTTGCTAGCTCCGATTAGCTACGGTGACTTTAACTGAGCTCGTAAAAATATCGCTTTTTTTTTTTTTTTTTTTTTTTTGCGGACTGTGACTCATATTTCAGCCCTAAGTTCGTACAATGAAAGTTCTCCCCTCGCCTTCCCAAAGGCGCCTTTTGATTCGATAAAGTTTAACCCAAAAAAATCTTTAAATTAAAGGTATGGTTTTACGGAAGTAAAGATGCCACCCTGAGGCGCAAGCAGACCGGGAAACGACCTACGAGAACAATGCAGACTTAAGTGTCAAGAAATAACAAATAGAAAAAAAATGAGAAGTGGACACACAAAAAGTAGACATTTTTGTTTTGCTTTTTGCATATTTGACCCCGCTAAAGCAAAACATCAAGGTTTTTTTTTGTGTGTGTTGTCAGTCCGGCACTTATTGCTCTCCCGAACACTGTCTGTAAGCGAACATTGATAAGCAGAGAACAGTACAGGAAACGAACTATACTTCGTTTCAGCTTCGGTCCGAGCACGGCTGATGTTATGAGCCGAAGGGCCAATCAAACAGCGCAAAAAGCGCAGCGTCATGGCGTGCTCTCTGCGCTTGATAAGACTAGCCGACGGAGGAGCGCGCAGAGAGAGACGGCGAATACCGGCTGGTCCTATCAACTGCAGAGGGCACGCCTTGACGTTGTGGCTCCTTCGCTGTTTGATTGGCCCTTCGGCTCATAACATCGGCCGCGCTCGGACCGAAGCTGACCTCTCAAAATGCCAACAAAGTGTCCCCCAACGTGGAGTGCTTTTCTGAACACAACCTACTTGAAGAAGGTGCGACCACTGCCGTGGCTATTATGTAGGTTCTCTTTGTTATTCATTCACTCATATCCGTGCCCCAAGTTCGTTTATATGGATTGTAGTTAAACGATGCGTCTAAGGTGCGCCGCAGGACGTGATATTCAGCAATGTCACTATTGGCGAAGCGCCCTGACCCGTTTGTAACCCCCACACCTCGGTGTTTACCCAACGCAAGGCCTCTGCAGATGCCCACAGGCCTTGGGGGCATGTTCGTGTCATCTTTTTTACTAGAGCGCGGGGCATAGTGTAATGAAAAAATACCAACTAGAGTGCCTTCATGTGCGCTTCGCGCACATGAAGGCTCCCTAATACCAACAATTAGTGAAGTGACGTTAAGTGCCGGATCTCCCCCGAAAGCAGTCGTCAGAGGATGCGAACTTGACTCACTTGGGCTTTTGTGCTGAGCTGGGCAGGGTGCATGCTGCATTGTTCGTGCGGGTCGGAGTGATAACAAAAGAGCCCCTCCTCAACCTCACCGGAAAACACGAACTCCAGCCGAACGTTGACGCCGCGTTCGGTTAAGTCAGCCGAGCGCTGAGCCATTGTATTTGTTGTCCCCATTCATCTAATTCTAAAGTTAACCGCTTGGGGCGCCACGGTATGATCTCCTCCCTTCCCATGATTATAACATGGGAAGGAAAGGCGACAGGGAAAATAGAGATAAGACGAGGCCTTAGGCAGGGGTGCCCGTTATCGCCTTTGCTGTTTATGTTGTATCTGAGAGGATTGGAGGATAGACTAGAGAAGAGTGGGCTTGGGTTCAACCTTTCTTACAGTAAGCTAGGCCAAAAAATTCAGCAATCCTTACCGGGATTGATGTATGCGGATGATATTGTACTAATGGCTAACAACAGGACAGAGTTGCAGGAATTAATGAGCATCTGTGGTAGGGAAGGAGAGGAATTAGGTTTAGAATTCAGTAGCGAAAAATCGGCAGTCATGATTTTTAACGAGGATGAAGTTGAGAGGCTGAAGATACAGAATATTACAGTTGAGAGAGCTAGTAAATACAAGTATCTAGGAGTATGGATATGTGATGGTGCAGAATATCTCAGAGACCATGAAAAGTATATAATAGGTAAGGGCAACAGAAATGCAGCTGTAATGAAAAATAGAGCACTTTGGAATTACAACAGGTATGAGGTGGTGAGAGAGATTTGGAAAGGGGTCATGGTGCCTGGCTTGACTTTTGGAAACGCAGTGCTATGCATGAAATCCGAAGTGCATGCGAGACTAGAAATAAAACAGCGCGGAGTAGGTAGACTGGCTTTGGGGGCACATTGCAAAACGCCAAACCAGGGAGTACAAGGAGGCATGGGATGGGCATCATTTGAGAGCAGGGAAGCGGTGAGCAAGGTAGAATTTGAGGATAGGTTGAGGCAAATGGACGGGGAGCAATGGGCACGAAAGGTTTTCAGCTATTTATACATGAGGAGTGTAGACACAAAGTGGAGACAGCGCACTAGGAAATTAAGAGGAAAGTTTTTGGGCTATAGCGAAGATACGGAAGAGCAAGTCTCAGTTAAGAAGAAAGTTAAGGCCACAGAAAGAGATTGGTGGCTAGAGGGAATGCAGACAAAGACGGCTCTGGAAAGCTATAGATTAAACAAAAGAGTTATTGCCAAAGAAAGCATTTATGACAATTCTAGGGGAAGCTCATTGCTGTTTGAGGCAAGAACGGGTGTTCTGCGAACCAGAACATACAGAGTGAAGTACCAGGAAATTGATACAGTGTGCACTGCTTGTGGAGAGGAGGACGAGACGGCTGAGCACTTGATACTCTACTGTAAAGGGCTTCACCCTATGCCTACCGAAGACAACATAGATTTAATAAAGTCATTGGGTTTTAGAGACAGCGAAGGGAGAGTGGATTTCAAGACTGTAGAGATTACCAAGCAAAGATTAAGTGAATGGTGGCAGAAATCGAGAGAAAACTAGGTATTTTCTTATCCACTGATGGCAAGGGGGTTTCATAGCCTCACTTTCTTTGCACTGCGGAGTGAATATAGATTTCACATTTAAATATTCTAAGCTTAAATGGTAAAACAAAATGGCTAGGTGGCGTAAGCTACCGCCCGATCCAAAGGGCTCAGCCGTATTCATCCATCCATCCATCCTCCCTAATAGCTAAAGCGATTTCTTTCTTGTTTATAATTCAATTAAATGCAAAGGTGCAAGCGAGCTGGACAAGAATGACGTTCTCCAAACACAGCTAGGTGACTGGTGCGCGACCGAAAAGCTGTGTTTGGAGATTTGTGTTTGTCCTTTGTCCCTCTTGTTCCCCTTCTTCAGGGATTATTTTCGTCACCTCTTTCTTGTTGTCTCAGAAATGTTTTGTAACATATCAGTGATATTTCCACGTGTGTTGTCCAGCGAGCGCGTGGCCGAATGGTTACCGCGCCTGGCTCTCGCGCGGAGTCTCCGGGTTCGATACCAGAAAGCGGACTTCTCTTTTATTTATTTCTTCATCTTGACATTCTGGTAAGTTGGAGAATTTTGTCTGATCGAGTTATGAATGTTCTACGCGCCGAACTTTCTACGCCGAATGTTGCAGAAACACACGCGGGTACAAAAGGTGCTCCGAGTGGCGGTCCAGAGTCAGCCTCGCCCTAGTGGTCGATCCTGCTGTTTCGCCGACAACGACGCCTGCCACGCCAGCCTTTCTCTCTTTTGTTTTGGGAACAAGTTCACCTCATTAACGTTTAGTTTCTTCAGTTATTCGCCGCCTCATCATTTATCATTCGTGACAATATTTTGCTCTTTATAGTCGGACTGCATAAAATAGCCCTACGATACTCCCCCCCCCCCCCCCCCCCCCGTTTTGTGTTGTTGCGTGCTAATCAACCCTTCTGGTAACATTTGCGTAGCTGCTTGTCAATGACGTCTATACAAATTAAGCAATGCGGAAGTATCTTCAAAAGTAACTGAAATACATTTCTAAGTATTTGTACTCTACTCAACATACTTTACAGTGAAAGTAACTTGAGTAGTATTTTAAATACTTTATGACCCAGGTATTTAGTAACAATTAACTTAAATACTTTCGTAGAGTATTTTGTCCAGCACTGGCTGACCGCACCGCATCTTATCAAAAAAGCATGAATGAAGAAATATTTACTCTATTATTTGTTTGAACATTTTCTACCCCACAAACATTCCTCCTAGTGCGCGCTTCCCCTCTGCTCCGTGCCCTGTGCAAGACCGACTGCGTGAGCAGGGTTGAGAGCGGGCCCAATGCTGGCACGGGGGTGTTGCTTTGGCATTTCAAGGAAAATTCCGACCCCTAACCCCCCCCCCTCCCCCCCCCCCCTCCCCCCTTTCTGCCTACGCCACTAGAAAATGGAGGGACCAGAAAACTTTAGATAAGTTTGCTGTCAAAGTTAGTCAGGAACACTGGCTAGGTGGCGCAAACAGCCGTCCAATTAGATAGATCAGCGTATGCATCCATGCGTCTACCTAAAGGGTTACGGTGACTGCTTCACTACAGCCTCTGTAGCTTCACATTGATCCATGCATGCCGAGATTGCTTGTTTTATGAGTTTAGTTGGTTTAGTATATCCGGCAGTACGGTGTTTTAGGTCGCGGTAAGCATATATTAAAAGGGACAACTGTATCAGAATGTCGCCCGACTGGTTTTCGGAATACGTCACGGTGGACAATGTGTGCCTAGGAGTCAATGCCATTACTTTGGGCTTGATCTACAAGATCTACCGGTCAAAGACGAAGAACTTCGAGGCTGTGCAGGTATGCCGGACGGTCGTTGGTGTGATACTGTGCGTCACTTCCACTATTTCTTGTTACCTGTAATCGCGCACATCGGCAAAGGTGGCGTGTTGCTGCAGCACGCTGTCCAGTCCGCACAATGCCTCGGCCGATTGGCACCCGTCTGCATCATTCCGCAGTTTTCCTGTGACCCTGAACTTTCTGAATTTAGTTGCATGTTTCTTCCTCTTCTAAATCACCTTTCCATTCGTTGACATTTGTCGTCTGAGCGAATTTTTACATCGATAAATCTACCCGAATCGCATTGTTGGGCCAAAGGGCAGACTGGATCCAGATGGGGTGTCTACACTGTGGGGATCTTGCGTGTGCACTTTTTTTTTTAGATAGTTGTGGCTAGTGTTACTCTCTGACGGAGCACTGAAACGCGTAAACTTAACCCTCCTCCTCCACCCCCCCCCCCCCCCCGCCCCACCTCGGGCCCTCCTCTCTCTCTCCCCCGTGAACCTAGGGAAGGCGGAGATTCATCTGTGTGTGGATAATGAACCACATGCTATCACATTCCACCAATGGTTTAGGCCCCGCCATCACCACTTATATCATAGCAACAGTTGGTGGGTCGCTTGCATTCTTGACTGCAGCCTGCATTGCAACATGAGTAAAGCTATACGCACTCCGGAGTGCGCTTCGGACGGAAATGGCTATACACACTCCGCTAATCTCGTATAAAAAGAATGGTCACTAGCAGTTTTCTCCGCGGTGGCATAGCATAGTGGTTATGGTATCTGCTTCGTCCGCATGTGGACACGAGTTCGATCCGCTGTCGGCCGACTTTTTTTTTTGTTCCGTTTTCTCGAACATTTTGTTTTGTCGAGGCATTGGGCGATATTTAAATTTCTTTTTTGCGATGAACACTAAAAATTTCGTTGTCGACGAAACTTCGTGGAACTAAATGGTATGGGACCCCTTTCCGGCGGTGCGATCGGGGCAGCGGGGCTTGGGTTGCCGGCTGGACGCCGCGAAGCGGCGTGTACTGGTTAAGTTTTGTAATTAGCAGCCGCATACTGTCGCCGCGAAGCGGCGTGAACGCAGGCGGGGGGCTGGGTTAACGAGCCCCCCAGTGATACACGCGTCGTCCGAAAAGGGTGGCCCGAACGGCATGAGCTTTCCGAGGAGTGCGTATAGCCATTTCCGTCCGAAGCGCACTCCGGAGTGCATATAGCTTTACTCTTGCAACATATGCTTGTGCATACATCCACAACCATTTTGTCAGTGTTCCGCTTTAGCAATCATAAACATTCAAGAAAGACATCGTCACAACCAAAACAGGCACGAAGTCGTATCCAGATGCCAAGGGGATTTATGAAGTTTCTAGCACATTGCTGAAACACACCTTGAGGCTTCTGCGGAAAGTACCTGTACAATGTGCCATGTTTCATTGTTCCTTTTGGGGGGAGGGAGGAGGGGGAGGGGGTGCAATATGGAGTTGCACACATTCCTCTCGAAAACTCTTTCGTTCATGCTTTTCTCCGTGTTCATTCCTGATCACTTGTTTCTCCCCGTCTTAGTCTTGACAATTTGAAACTCATGTTTTCTCGCAGACGGCACGGCAGTTCGACATCGACTCGCATCTGGTGCAAAAGCTGCGGGAGGAGTACCCAGATGGCAAGGCAGTGCACGCCGTCGTCAGGGGTCAGGTGAAGTCGCTCGGAGACACCCTGAAGAGCAGGCACATCCGCAGTGCCAAGGCTGTCATTCAGGAGTGCGTCCTCACTGAGCACAAGATCCAGTGGAGCCCCTTCTCACGCTTCTGGTAAGGGGACATTGGGGTCTCAAAGGCGTCTCTAACTGCTGTGTTTACCGTGTCCGTTAACCATAGTATCCCAAGAGATGTCCCACCCCTACTTTTTGGCATGATTTTCTACTTTTTAAAAAACACAGAAAAATGTTTGTCTTAAAGGTCCCTCTGCCGAGGCCAGTGGTGGCCTTGGCAGATTCAGTGTCACTTAGCTACAATGGGAGATAAGTGAATGTTGCTCACTTGAAAGCACAATCATTTTTGCTTCATCAACCCTCGCTGCGATCAATGTCAAGTTTCACGGGCCACAAAATGTAAAACAGTAATTTTTTCACTTTCTTTTATTGCACTCCGAAAGTTAGCCCCATTCCTCATTTTCACCCTCATTTCTTTTTATGTTAGATGGGCTATCTCTTAGAGTATTGCAGTAATATCCGCAAAAAGTTTAGTTTGTATATTGATATTTAAGAGAATAGGTTTGGTTCCATTAACTGTCTAGTGGCATTTGTGTCTTTCCAGTATTTAACTGTGTCTACCAGCTATTTAACATACTGTACAAATATTTTCCCTTCCATAACTAGCACAGGTCATATATTGTACTATGCTTCGTTTGCACTTCTCTAAGTATTGCAAGATATGTGCGTATCTTGTTACGATGTTTGTTTCCACTGTACGTGTGAGTAATGCTATTCACAAAACGGTTGTACACTATGTCCACTGTTACTAAAACACTGCCCCTTTCCAGTAAAAGGCTAGTCTAATATCCGGCATGGTCACATATTGAGATTGGCTTTTGTCATGACACAAAAATAGAGCGACATATCCATCGTCTCGAACAGACACCAATGATAAACGCCATAATTGCTAACCGTCCGATTAGCAAGAGAGATTTATTGTCTGGAGTACTTACCATCTGGTGACAGCAAATATCTGTTGGCAGCACATTTCCCTTGAAGAAAGAAGCACAATGTTTGTGGAAAAGGTAAACAAACCAGTTGCCAACTGGCAAGGTTGAATCACTACTCTACGACTGTCAAGCAGGGGCAAATTTAGGGGGTGGGGGGGGGGGTGCAACCACCCCCCCTGAGCTCCTCAAGATCAACTTTGTTTTAATAACATCATTGATATTCACCAGCCAAAAGTTTAGTTTTTGGTGACATAACAGGTGTTGGGTCAACAAAATGGATCTAGGCAACGTTTCGACTGTAACGTTACATCTCAGCAGACCGCCATCCCCCTTCCCCCCCCCCCCCCCCCCCCCCACCCCACCAGCCTACCACCCTTCCCTGGCCTGACCCATAAATCTGCCCCTGCTGTCAAGTGGTGCAGGTCAGGAAAAGAGAAGGCGCGAGTGAGCACAGATGGTTAGTTTTATAGTGAGCAAAACACAAACGGAGAATAGCCGCTATTGGCGACGAGATGCTTCAGTGGCACCACCTTGTGGGAGCCTCCTGTGATGTAGCGAGTGTGACTTGAGCAGATGACATGCCAAGTAATTTGCACGAAGTTGTTATGTTGTCCATTGATAACTCTTAACCTGTTTTAAATAGCGTGTATGATGTGTCTAGGAGTTGTTTTTTTTTTTCCTAATGAACTAGTATCTTCGAGCCACTCTTAAAAGATGCAATCTTTAAAATGCTCCGAAGCAAGCCTGGTGCTTGCATGGCACCTTGCACGGCATGTGTCACAGCATCTCTGATTCTTTTTTTGTTGGATCTGTGAAGGCTACTGTCAAAAAAATTGTTTTGCCTTCACCCGAGCGTAGGACGTGCTGTCGTCTTAACTGCGAACGTGCGTCCTGCCGTGTTGCGTGGCGCAGTGTACATTTTGGCTAATATGGAGCTTGCCGCTACCGATTCTTCCGTCGTGATTTAAGAGTAGCTGGCGCATATTTGTATGATACTATGCAAACCAAGCCTAGCTGTTTTCTTTTCTTTGTTAAGTTTAATGTGTGGCAAAGGAACTTGCGACATTGCGACTTGTGCTCAACGGGGATGCTGGAATTCCAATACCTTTTTTTTTTTAATTGCCAGGCTTAGCTCACCATTTTAGGGCAACTGGTTAATTGGTTTTCTAAATTTGTTGTTAAAAAGCCCCTTAAAAGAAAAAATATGTTATTTTTAACAATCTGGATGTCAAAAAATTTATTGCAGGCAAAAAAAATGTTTCGAGCAATAATGACGGCACGAGACGCGATTTAGTCGGCAGTCACCTCCTTTCCACTTGTTTTCTCTGTCGGCATTTCGGGCGCTTGGAGGAGATGGGGATCGGCTTCATCTTCACATTTAGGAGGAAAGAGTGAATGCGCGAGATGGACATTCCGGAATGGCCCGTGATGTCATGGACTTTGCGCGCAGAATTTAAAATAAATTTCTTGCCGTCAATATTGCTCTAAAAGTTAATTTTTTCCGCATAAAATTTATATTTTGACACGCGTGTCCCACTTAGGCTGTTTAAACAAATTTTCTTTTCAGGGTCTTTTTAAATAAAAACTGGACCAATTTTGTAATTGAAACAAAAAAAAAAAATTAAATTGTTTTTGTTTGACTTTTAGGATAACGGACATCAAAATTATATTTCAGATTAATATCCCAAGTGTCCATAAAAGCACTCTTCAAAATAGAAGTGAAGCTCCTCCCTCCCGGCGCGTTCAGTGGGAGGAGAAAATTGTGACGTAATATACAGAAATCTCAACATTTCTGCACCTTCCGCAAGCCTTACCCGAACAGTCAAAGACACTGCACGCATTCCCTGACAGGCGGCACGCGCAAGGCGGTTGAAACCTCTGGGTGTGATGTCACGCCCAGCGGTTGGTTTTTCGATTTTTCTTACGTTTATTGATACGTTCGGCTCAAATGCTCACGCTTGTGAAATTCAAATTGACAGGACAAAAACAAGCTGGATTCACCTCTAACTTGTTTTTTTCTTCAAGATCCTCTACAGCTTGTTTTTAGGGATGGATTACAAATTAAAAATTTTCACTGAGAAGCGCACCACATATTCTGCGCAAATATTCTTTGGGTCCGCAAAAAAACAAACATACAAACGTTCATGAACTATAACGGGTGTATAGCTTTTTTTTTTTTTTTCCAACTCACTAGACGATTGCAGGGGTGATTTTGCGAGTTCTGAGTCGAACGGGCAAAGAAAAGACTCCGGGAGTCGGCTACCACCTCTTCCAGCCAGTTGTTTTGGGGAAACATGCTTGTAGGGGGTATTCTCTGGGCACCATATTATAATGCACTGTTCACTGGGTGTGCTCATAACAAGCTCACACATATTGGCTCCCAGGACCGGTTGTCTTGATGGAATGAAATGAATGTTGCAGGAACAATGTGGGAAGCTCGCCGTCGGCACATGCTGAGGAGTTGCGCAGTTCGCTATGGCCTCAAGTGAATATGCCCTATTGGTTTTCAAGATTGAAAAATTAAACATACTTGAACTAATAAGAAACCGACACTCGTGGAACGCAGTGGAATGAACGGGGAACACAAAGTCGCATTTATTGAAGTATTTACTGTACACGTGATAGATTTTCGAGTTTGACTTGCCCGTTTACAGCTTGATGAGCTATTCCTTCCTCAGTTTCTTCTCGATCAGGTTAAAACCTGACGACCAAACCCGATATTCTGCAAGGCTTTCCTTCTCTCACGTCTTCGAGCCAGGGAAGCGAAGGAAGGAAAGAGGAAACTAAAGAAGTCGGGCATGAGTTTGCGTGCACCATTCGGATGGTGGGAGGGGAGGTTCATTGTGCGAGCAGGTGAATGGAGATAAGCCAGCAAGAGGGTGCCCCCCCAATTGGGCATGTCACAATCTGTACTGTGGAGGATTAGCAAGGGAACTTTCCAGTACTAAAGTCCAGGACCAGGAAACGAGAACTAAGTTTGCTTCTCGTACTGCGCAGCACGCCTTCGCTGGGTGCTTCTTTGATCAGTGCAATTTTTAATCAATGTGAGTGGACGTCTTTTTTTAATTAACTGCTGCCCTTGTCGGAAGCCTGGATCAGAATGCATTGGCATAAAAATTTGAGGGCCACAAGGAAGGAAGAGCTAAGAAGCTTCTTTGTACAAACTTCGGGGCGAATGATACACAGCAGATAATCCAGAATGCGTAGAGCGACACTAGTCTATAGACCTATTTCACAAATGATCGTATTGATAACTTGAGAAGCACCCCCTGTAGTTCGCGCACGCCACCAATAGTCACCGACAAGAACAACGGAGCATATCTTAAATGCCCGGCCCCTAGTACTCGCCCGTTGCCTTTCACCGTGCTTTGGCCGAGTGTGCATGCTCGATACTCACCAGACGCCCATGCGCTATCCAAGTTAGGAAGTTTGCGCAAAAGGTGGAACAATTGAAACCCTTCCCCACCATTCAGTCAGTGACTATAGCCACTGTTGTGTATAGAGGGCGCTGAACTCATGCATTACCAATTGTATATAAGAGCATCACCATCGGCATAAAGATCAGTCAGCGTCCAGTGCCTGCCTCGTGTCAGTTCTTGTTCTGCGGCCTTCCGGCCGCGTTCGCCGGTCTACACCACATTGGCGCAGTCGACAAAAGCACAACCTCGGCAGCAGTCAAGATGACAGCCGTTCTTCGCAACTAGTACGCGAGGGGCGTTACCCATTAACGCAAAGATGAATACGCTCGGGCTGCCATCGTTAGCCCCGTTTTTGGAGGCGCCGGGAGACCCGGCAGTGCCATGGCGGCAATGGCGAGAGGACTTCGAGATCTTTCTGCAGGCGACGGAAATGGACGCGAAACCGCCAGCACAACGAAAGGCGATACTTCTACAGTGTTTGGGGGTGGAAGGTCGAAGAGTGTTTCGCACGTTGGTTCCAGAGCCTGCGGCTGCACCTGCACCACCGATAACTGCTGCTGCAACCGGAAGTGCGCCGGAGAAGACCACATCAAAAGGGGGTGAGCCGGACGACTACACCGATGCACTTCGGTTGTTGGAACGACATTTCACGAACACTCTGAATGTGCTTGTCGAACGACGGCGATTCATGTTGCGACGACAGCGTCAGGAGGAACCGATACGCGCGTACGTCAGTGCCCTGCGACAGCTCGCGAGTACTTGCGACTTCGGGGACTTTCTTGAGGCAGCGCTGCGGGATAAAGTCGTCGACGGAGTACGGAGCGTGGAGCTAAGACAGAAGCTGCTCATGAAAGGTTCACAGCTCACGTTGGGCCAGGCCATGGACATCCTACAGACGTTCGAGCAGGCAGCGGAAGGTGCCCGTGTCTACGAGGAGGGGCGTGACGCTGCCATGGTTCAGCAAGTCGAGAGGGCAAGAAATCGTTCAGGAACAGGAGTCAGCGGTTCTTCAACAGTTCCGGACCGCAGGTGTTACAGATGCGGTGCTTCAGGACACCTAGCCAGTGCACGGGAATGCAGAGCGCGAGATAAGCGGTGTTCGAGGTGTCACAAGGTGGGACATTTTCAAGCGGTATGTAGAAGTACCGGGCAAGCGCGGGTGCAAGCGGTTCAGGACACGGACGGAAACGAAGAGTTGGGTGTCCTAACAGTCACACGGAACGAGCGAACCACTCTGATAGTCGACGTTTGCGTCGAGGGCGAAGTGATTCAGCTTGTCGTGGACACAGGCTCGTCAGTGTCTATCTTGCCAGCAAACATCTATCAAGAAAAATTTGCAAGACGGTTCGCCTTGGCTCCAGCAACGGTGACTCTGCGGGACTTTTCACAGCAAAGAATTCCAGTCTTGGGATGTTTTGTGGCTCAAGCGGCACGTGGAGGCGTGTCGTCAAACATTCGCTTCTATGTGGTGTCAAGGGGCATGGCGTTGCTGGGACTGGATGCGGTGCAACAACTACGACTGCATATCGACGGCGCATCGCTGGCGTGCCTACAGACAACGGCGGGGCCACAACCTCTGCCTCCTGAACTTAGTGAGTTTTCATTCCTCTTTGCGGGGAAACTGGGACTTGCTAAAAACGTGGTACACGAAGTTAAACTGCGCCCCAACGTCAAACCAGTATCAGCAAAAGCTAGGCGATTACCGTTGATGTTGCGAGAACAAGTCTCTGCTGAGTTGTTAAGATTAGAGCGTGAAAGCATTATCGAACGGGTAAACGCTTCTGAGTGGGTGTCTCCAATAGTGGTGGTAAAAAAAAAAGACGGGAGCATCCGACTCTGCGTAGATTTACGGGAGCCAAACAAGGCCATTGTCGTTGACGGCTTCCCGTTGCCGCACACGGAGGAGCTTTTGCACGCTTTGAACGGAGCAGCATGGTTCTCTAAACTGGACCTGGCGTCAGCCTATCACCAGGTCGAGTTGTCAGAAGACAGCCGGGCACTGACGACGTTTGCCACACATGAGGGACTGTTTCAGTTCCGTAGAGTCTGTTTTGGCCTTGCTTCGGCGCCCGCCGCGTTTCAGCGGATGATGGAAGAAATATTGAAAGGTTGCAAGGGCGTCCTATTGTATATTGACGATATTATTGTCTTTGGCAAAAATAAGAAAGAACACAACAGTCATCTGCGCGAGGTCTTGCAGCGAATAGCGGCCGCTGGCCTGCAATTGAACACGAAATGTGTCTTCGGGGTAGAGGAATTGTCGTTCTTGGGTCACCATGTGAGCGCAAGGGGTCTCGCACCCCTCAAATCAAAAGTGGACGCGATTATCAATGCACAGACGCCAACGGATTTGGTGGGATTGCGTTCTTTTCTTGGGCTCATGGGATACTACTCTCATTTCCTCCCTCATTATGCAGAAGTGGTGGAGCCACTGCGGCGCTTTCTTCGCAAGGGCCAGGAGTTCATCTGGGACCAGAACGCTGAGGAAAGCTTCGGCAAGGCTAAGAACCTACTAGCGTCGTGCAGCGCAGTATCCATGTTTGACCGGTCCTTACCTGTACAGGTAACAACTGATGCATCGGCATATGGGCTGGGAGCGGTACTGCAACAGGTGATCGACGGTGAGACGCGTACGATAGCATTTGCATCAAGGACGTTGACGCCACAGGAACGCAAATACTCTACGGGAGAACGAGAAGCCCTGGCATGTCTGTGGGCTTGCGAGCACTGGCATGTGTACTTGTGGGGCAGAAATTTTGTGCTGCGAACGGACCACCAGGCATTGGTAACATTGCTCTCTACTAATGGCACCGGAAGGCGGCCACTTCGGATAGAGCGGTGGTGTGCAAGGCTGATGAGGTACAATTTTACTGTACAATACACGAAAGGAGAAGATAATGTAGTCGCTGACGCACTCTCCCGGTTGCCCTTGCTGTCCACAGAGTGCGACCCAGTAGAGGAGGTCATTGCTGTGGTGTCAAGCGTGGTAACAAAGAACCAATTGCAAGTGGAGACAGAGAAGGATGGCGTGTTACGGGAGGTGATGCAGTATGTCACATCTAGGTGGCCAGAAAAGAAATGTCTGTCAGGAAAGCTACTATCATTTTGGCGGATTCAAGAAGAGCTTTCTGTTCTGGAGGGGGTGCTGTTTCGTGCAGAGCGGGTGGTGCCTCCATCGACATTGGTGTCCAGATTCATCATGATGGCCCACGAATCGCATCCGGGCATCGTCAGGACAAAGCAGCGACTCCGGGAGCAGTATTGGTGGCCTGGGATGGACGAAGACGTGGAAAACTGCATTAGAAGCTGCGCTGTGTGCAAGGCATCAGACAAGTCTGCAAAGACCGCGGTGGCCCCTCTACAACCAGTGCAATGGCCCGAAAAGCCCTGGGAAAAGCTGGGCATGGATATTGTGGGCCCGATGGAACGAGCCCCTCCAGAGTGCAGATTTGCAGTAACTGTGATTGATTATCACAGTAAGTGGCCGGAGGTTTTTTTTGTGTCGTCGATAACTTCTCAGTCGGTGACGAAAGTGTTACTGGAGCTATTTGCGAGGGAAGGATACCCAAAGAGTGTTGTCACTGACAATGGCAGACAATTTATGTCGACACAGTTTGAAGGGTTCCTACAAGACAGAGGAATTGAACACTGTGTGGCCTCGCTGTACTACCCGCAGTGCAACGGTCAAATAGAACGATTTAACCGCGTCTTAAAAGAGTATATTCAGGTGGCGGCACTGGAGCGCAGACCACTTAAGGAGGCAATTCTGGAATACCTGAGTATTTACAGGGCAACTCCCCATGCGACCACCGGCATGTCTCCGGCGTTTTTGCTACACGGAAGGCGGCCACGAACAAGACTGGACGTCGTGGGACTACCGGAGAGAGGGTTTTTCGATGAACCGCGGCCTCACGTCGCCGAACTGCAACGCCGTGTCAAAGAGCGACAGCAGAGGACAAAGAAATACACCGATGAAAGACGGGGTGCCAGGCACTCCATCATTGAACCCGGCGACTTCGTAAAAATAAAGAGGTGGGGAGGACCAAAAGGACAGCAGAGGTTTTCTTTGCCAATAGAAGTAAAAAAACGCGTGGGAAAAAATTCCTTCCTTTTAGACAATGGGAAGAAATGGAACGCTGCCAAATTGACAGTAGTGGCCAAAGGAGGAGCACCAGGTGCCCGGAACTTGGTAGAAAAAGTTATGGAACGACGTGGAGCGGTAAGAGACCAGTTAGGCGACCTGGATTTGCCCACTGAAGAGGGGGCATCACAACTACCATCACCACGGGACGTCGCAACTGCCAGAACCCCAGAGACATTATCGCCAGGCGACGACAGCGCTACCGTCGCTACGCACGGAGCGGGAGCTGCACGGGGTGCTGAGACACTTCCAGACTCTACACTTCAGGAGACTGAAATCTTGTCGACACCAGCAGAGTCGGCGCCGGCACCAGAGCAAGTCGAAGCGCAGGACATCTCCGGCCAACAGGAGTTGTTGACCACGGCACCGTCGTACAGCAGGCCTCAGCGACAAAGAAGAATGCCCGGAAAATACAACGATTATGTTTTACACTAGAATGATCTGTTATAGTGGTTCCAGAGCTATGTGAATAACTGTAATTATTGTGTTCTAGTTACTGGGGTTTTGTTTATTTAAAGGGGGGAAATATGTTGTGTATAGAGGGCGCTGAACTCATGCATTACCAATTGTATATAAGAGCATCACCATCGGCATAAAGATCAGTCAGCGTCCAGTGCCTGCCTCGTGTCAGTTCTTGTTCTGCGGCCTTCCGGCCGCGTTCGCCGGTCTACACCACAGCCACTAATACTTGAGGTCTCTATTGCCACACTTTTTATTATACGGCGATGCCAGCCCCATTAACTTTTCACTTTTCTGGTACAGCCCATGTTATTGCTATTACAGACTCGTGAACCACGATCATTGGGTGTGTCCCATTTTGGCAAGTAATGGGCCTATTGTATGCATTAGGAGAAGCACCTCTATCGCCTAATTCTGTGGAATTTGGCAAACCTCTCCACCTGCAAACTGAGTGGCTAACTGCTGGCCCCATTTCTTTTCCTTATTCCCCACCTCCAGGTCACACACCCAGCGCGAGATCCAACGCGTCATCAACTATGTCCCCTTCGCATTGGCCTCCCGCCACAGCGGGGCCACGGTCGAGGTCGTCGACCCCCTCGAGTGTGAGGACGTCCCGGTTCAGTGTGTCTACGAGAACTTCATTCCGAACCGCGAGGGCTTGAGTGGCGTCCTGTTCGGCTGGCTGCGTGGCGAGCAGACAAAGGGCATCGAGGAGCAGGAGATGCTCCTCGAAGAGGGCGCCACGCTCACGGGCTTTGGTACGCTTGCCACCGAGAAGGGCACGGATGCCGTCCGGCTGATGCCGCCGGCAGACGGCTCCTGCTACTACCTCACCCACCTCAGCCACCCGGCACTCGTGTCCAAGCTGAAGTCGGAGGTGGATGTCCTCCGGGTGGCCTGCTTCGTCTTTGGCTTCACGGCGGCCGGCCTGTCCGTCTACATCCTGCTGTCCTGGTGGCAGAGGCGGCAGCGGCGCATCCAGGAGATGAAGGACGCGACGAGGAGGGAGGAGGCCAAGAAGGAGCGCAGAAAGCAGACGCGGGATGCCGCCGTGGCGTCTGAGTACCCCAACTGCGTCATTTGCCTCAGCAACCCGGTGGAAGTGATGATGCTTGAGTGCGGGCACGTCTGCGTGTGCACGGACTGCGCAGAGCAGGTCAGGGACACGTGTCCCGTTTGCAGAGCGCCCATCGCGAGGAGCGTGGCGGCCTTCTTACCCTGAGCGGAGGTGGGATTTGTAGCGGCATCGCTGCTATTTCTTTGAAGTGCGGCTGTGTTATTGATTTTGTACAGTTTCTGGTGGGGAGTTGTTCGTCGAGGTCTGGCGGTGTGCGGCGCTTCTATTTGTGATGACTGCTGATGGTTGGGGCTCAAAGAACTGAAAGAGGATGTCTTTATTTGTGTGAGGTGCCTTTTATGCAACTTGCTAGTAAGGTGTAGTAGCCGACGAGAGAAAACAGAGTTCAGAAATTCTTTCTTTCTCCCTCGTCAGCACGCATCACATACTGTAAAACCCTTTATTTTCGCAGCCTCTATTTTTTGCGAACCGGTCACAGAGGACATAATGGTGGCTGCTAAATTTCGTAAATTTGGATTTCAGAAAAACAATGCAGGAGATGTAGGCGGGACGCTACAATCCCTACAACACTACTCGTAAGGCAATATCTCGAATGAACGGCCGTATTTTCGGAAAAAGAGGTCGAGATTGAACCAGGCCGACGTGGCGCGTGACGTGAATATACCTAGTTGCCTCCTCTCTTCGCTTCACTCCCTCGAGGCCGCGAGGCGGAGAAGACGCGAGGCCGTTCCTTCTCCTCCTTGGAGAAACATGACGTGAACATTTCTGTCAAATGTGCCTCCTTTTTTTGAAAAATACGGTCATCCGTTTGAGATATCGCTGTATGAGTGATGTTTTGGTGTTTGTAGCACCTGTTGCACGCTTTTGCCGCGTGTTTCGTGGAATCCAGATTTTGGTTTAGCATCCCTTTGAGAACCAAAATTTTTGCGTGCCCCGAAATTTCATAAATTTTTTAATTCTCGAAATTCCCAAAATTAAGGGCTGACGAACATTAAGGGTTTTACAATAGTGTGAATGTGTAGAGTACACTGATCTGTGTTCCTGGTGTTACCATACATGCATTTTACTTGTTCCTGCCCAGTAGCAATGAGGGGATGGACAAAATGGTTCTATTTTCAGTTGGCCATGACATACTACTGATGGCTTATGTGTGACCAAAAAGGTGCACCGACAAAAACATGATACACATAGACACCATTTTTAAATTTCTAGAAAGATTTTTTCTTTTTTCGTCTTACCAATGTAGACAGAAGAACTTGGATTACTGCTTGTGGGCTCAAAGCATCTGAAGAGAATCCACACTCTGGAGCTTGTCAGACAAAAGCTATATGTAATAAAAACATCCAGCTGGACTCAAAAAAAAATTCTAGGTGCTCTCTTGTCACAGAGGACGTAAAAGAAGAAAGAGAAAATCTCGAAGTGGATAAGAAGATCTGTGTAACCAGGTGTATGGTAGCCCACACAAGTCTCAGCAGAGGCTGTGGTTTTAATAAAGCTATGCAGAGAGCAAGTCGTCTACTTGCGCAGGGGTTTCGGTGACGTCAGAACGACGCCGAGTTCTGATTGGTTTCGATTAGAAGGATAGTGGGTAGGTGAACCTCAATGCTAGATTCCTTGAGGTCTACCGATTTTGGGTAAAGTACATTTGAAAAGTACTGGAAGTAAAGTACGAAATAAGTGAGAGGTTGTGTACTTCAAGTACAGTAAAACCTCGTTATAACAAAGTTGAAGGAGCGGTCGTAATTATTTCGTTATAACGATTAGTTTGTTATAGCCAATGTCCATTTCTTCCCACTATTAGCAAGCAAGGGGAATTATGATTGCTTTGTTATATCCATTAGTTTGTTATATCCTGTTTTGTTATAACGAGGTTTTACTGTAGTACTTTAGTAGCACATCTAGCCCTGGGGTTGTTTTAGGATGTCCTGTGGACGTTCATAGGACAGGTGTGTTGCTTGAGTAAGTACACCAGGCACTTAGCCATGATTTTGTTTAAGGGGGGGGCCTCCGCCCATAACAAAATGCTGTATGAGGGGGAGGAGGCCCCAGCATATTGTAAAATTTTTATTTTTTTTTTTTTGGGGGGGGGGGGGGGTCCGGGCCCCATGCCCTCCTTCCCCCCTTGGCTACGTGCCTGCCGGGCACACTGTACTTGAGTTAAAGTACTCTAAATACAATGTACTTTTAAAGTAAACTACAAATACTTTAACAATCTTTCATGGTGCCCTTTCATTCCTTTATACCAGGGGTGTCAAACACGCGTCCCCGTTATTCGCTAAAACAAACGTCAGTTCGCTCAAATGGCGCCGTTCGCTGCTGACACAAACTCTGAAAATTACATGTTTTTACATATTTTGTTTTTAGTTCGTCCGTGGGGTTTTGCTGGAGTTTGTTTAGCTCCAAATTTAAAGGGAAAAATATTTTATGTATTGAAGTATAAAAACCTGCATTCAGGCAAAAATAAAGAAAGTTATATTTTAATAAACCTTTATTTGCATAAGAACTCAAGTGGGGGGGGGGGGGGGGTGATTCGTTCGATTAATTAAGTACATCTTCGCTGTCCGGAAGAGTCGGATATGTGTGCATCTTTTATCTCAAAATTAAGCGATCCTTGTGTTGACGCTGAAATCGACGCGCGCGTGACAGACTGTTCGCGCTCGACGGCCGTGGTTCGCTGCGTCTTTTATTTCGCGGAGATCTGCAACAGCAAAGTTGCGCAATCAATTGCAAAGCAACACAGCACTTCAAGAAGCCAGTGGACGCGGAAAACATAACAAAAGACCGATTTAATTGCCAAACGCACGAACAAAACCCGAACCGGAAGTGTTCTCGGCTCCCTGTCGTAGCGGAAGCAACCTTGAATAAAAGTAAAATCACTACTGAAAAATTCGTTCTTTTTTATAGTTACGTGTGTGTGTGTGTGTCTTGTTGCAAATATTAGTATTTAGTCTTATCGATTAATTTTAGTTCTTGGTTTTTCCCACAATGGACTGCTTCCAAAACCGACGCTCCCCATTGCGGCGAAATACCACGCAGTGCACTCTGGGAACTAGTTGGCCACTCAGTTTCGGTTTCGACTGTGCAGGTTCATCTCGTGCTATCATGCCGCGACCGTACGCACTGCTTGCGTTTTCGATTATTTGACTTTTTTACGAATGTACAATACACAGTCTTGGGTAAGTTACTTTTAAAAAGTAATTCGTTACAGTTACAGTTACTCTCAGAAAAAAAAAGTAGCAAAGTTACCGTTACAGTTACCGCAACAAAAGAGTAACTCGTTACAGTTACAGTTACTTTTAAAAAGTAACGACGTTACTTTTCTGTTACTTTTCTATAACACAAAAAAATTAGAAAGAAACTAGAAAACGCCCCTCACAACGTTTTATTGCATAAAATTAAAAAGTATGCTTTTTAGTTCATGTTGTAACTTAGCAGCGGTTGCTTCTCGAATTTAGTGTTTGAAAGTTTCCATGCCAGAGTAGTGGCGCAAATCAAAATACGAAACATGCGCAGTACGGAGTAGTGGCGCTAATCAAAATACGAGACATGCGCAGTGCCCTCCACGTGTATTGTTGTTTCATGGTTGATTCACCCGATTAAAGGGCGTTTGCACAGAGAAAAGAAAAACCAAAACATAGATAGTGCTTCAAGACACTAAGATGTAAGTGTTCCGTCACAAAGTACATGCGCATGCTTAAAGATAACTAGATTTTTTTTTTTATAAAATCTACACGTGGCTATATTCGGGTCGTGACTCGCGAGAAAGAACGTAGTCAAAACTTTGTGCAAGGCCAACTTGACACTCGAAATGTCGGCATAGACGATTTGGAAAGTGCAAGGAATGGCTAAATTGCACTCGTTCAGTGATATATTATTCATAAAACACTGGAAAGTAATGACAAAAGTAACGTTACTTTCATCGTTACCTCAGAAAAAAGTAATAGAACTACAGTTACAAGTTACATTTTTAAAAAGTAACTCGTTACAGTTACAAGTTACCAAAAAAGTAACGAAGTTACAGTAACGCGTTACTACCCAAGACTGACAATACACTCATTCTCGAGCGATACAAAAACGAAGACCGGGGCACTTTCCTTGGTTCCCGAAACACCGGATATTATGAGTGCGTATGCAAACGTAGTAAGACGTGGCTTAGTCACCTCACCCCACGAGTGCATCTTTGAGCTCGTGTCAGTAATCCCGTCTAGTAGCAGTGAACTACAAGTGAAATTCGGTCACCTGGAGCAGTACATGTATTTTGTTTGCCAAACGTCCGCTTCTTGTTACTTCATTGGGCGAAAAGCAAGCTGCATCCTCACTATAAATTTGACCTCACTATAGTTACTATAATGTCTTCCTCGTGTCATCATATATCTCCCACTCAAATTTTATGCTGATAAAAGATTAAGTTTTCGCAAATGCTGAGATCGGCTAGCTACGACGGAGGTCCTAACAAGCGTCCCCTACTCCTCGCTAAGCCTTTTTGGACGAGCTTTTACTGACGCCCAAGAGCTGTGCCTGAACGTTGTGTCTGAAATTATCTCGGCATATTCAGGCAGGAAGAAAGCAAAGCAAAAATAAAGCGGAGTTGCCCGCAACTCCGCTTGATTTTTGATATTTAGAAAACTATGTAGCCTTCCTCAGTATCATATAGGAAGACCCCATGTCAAATATTACGGTCTAATTCCGTCCATATATTTAATAAACTGGCCAGCAAATTTTCAAATCAGCCAAGTCGCCGAAATCTGCCAACTCCAGCGTGCGACGTGAGGCGTAATCATCAGCGAAGCCAATGCGACGGAGTTGGAGCGGCCAACGTTGAGCAACTACGTCAGAAGCATGACTACGTCACTCTCACGTTTTGTTTGTTTTTACTTCTCAAAGCGAAATTGAACGATGACGTCATGAGTTTCTCGCGGTGTTGGCTGAACGGCGTCCAGGTGATCACCGTAACGCGGATGCGCTAGTTTGCGCTGCCCTGCGCGCTTATCGGTCTGTTTCTCCGCTTGCCCTCTCCTCTTTCGTCTTCTCCCCCTCCCCCTCTCCCCTGGGCCATCACCGTCCACGCCGTGCGAAGCGACATGCCCGCGTCGCGTGTCCTGTCCCTCGCCCCCGCGAACGTCACAAGACCACGTGGTTCGACGTGACATAGCCATGACTCTGACGGCACGAGACCAATGTTGCCTGACGCAACCGAGGTTTCGGTTTCGGTATCAGCTGATGTTTAAATTAAGATTACACAAATAATATTCCACATTTCGCGAATCCGAGGACGTAGAGCTGTTTAGTAGTGCTTTATGAAATGAAATCACATGTAAGCCTAAATTTTTCGGAATTGAGCGGAGTTGCCCTTTAAAACGGTTTAACTTTACGCGCATACACGATGTTGAGTATTAGTGAAATGCAAGTGGGGCCTTTCGCTTCGTGCAGTGCTGAGGGTCAGTACAGATAAGAGATAAGAGGTGTGTTATAATTAGGGCTCCGTGTTTTCGGAGTTTATATTTCGTGAAATTCGAAGAGTGTTTTTCGGAGTTTACTTGTTAGCGAAAATTCGGTGTTTATTGGAGTTTATTTTTCGTAAATCCCCAATTCTCCGAAATTCGGAGATTACTTTCACAGTGTTTCTTATTAAAATATAATAAATAATAACCGGATGCAAACGTATGCTAGATAAAAAATAAAACGCGCTCGTATCAATTAAGATTTCTTCAGTTGAATTTGGCGTTGGTGTCATTGGCAATACTAGTTTGTCCCACGACAAAAGTCGCACACAAGTGTGGCTTCGATAAACGTCGACACCATAAAGGGATACTTCAACGAAATTTGAAATATTCCCGTCGTGTTCAAAAATAGGTTGAATATGATCCACAATATCCGTAAATGACAATCGCACGTTTGTATTTTGATCCTCGTGGCTGTATTTTTCGTTATAAACGGCCCACTCTGGAAAGCGCTCGGAGAAGGTCCAGCTTAGAGCACGTGACATCCAACGCAATCGTGGCGTAGGTCGTCTCAAGACGAGCAAAGCTACGGCGAGGCTGACGTCGAGAGGATGGCCTAGTCGTTCCAGCCACCGAAGCGGCTGCTTTTGTACAAATTTTGAGTGACGGGTCAATCTTCTATAATCTTCTAGGGGGACAATAGCGACTCCTGCGACACACAAAAGGGATTCTCGGGAGGAGGGGAGTTCATCCTTCCCCCCTTCTCTCGTCGTGGCCGGAGACGAGACAACCTCCGTCACTAGCTGTCAAGGTTCCTAGACGAGCATTACAAACGAGGCGTTAGCGACATCCACCAGGTGCTCTTTGCTAATCGTTTAATTCGTTTTAAAATTCCTTTTCGAGACTTTTTTAACAAGATATCGGTATGTTCCATGTGGTACTGCTCTTTTGAACACATATAGACCACAAAATGAGCGCCGAAATTTCGTTGTAGTATCCCTTTAAAAGCAATAAACTGCCGGAGGTAGCCGCAAGGAAGCTCGTAATCATCCCATCCATCTATCCCGCGACCGCGCGAGGTGGAGTGGTTAAGGATGTAATTGAGAAGTTTCAACTGCCCCTCTTCCCTATTTTATACAATCTCTATGGTCCATAGCTTTCACTGGTACTCCCAGAAACATACCCTCTCTTTTCTCTAAATCCCAAATCCCATGGCCCAAACTAGAAACCAAAAGAGTGACTTTTCTCGTGACACGAATGGTACGATGACCTGCTTCCTTTTATTTATTCACTTTCCCACAGCGCCAGGATGGCATTACAGCGGGGGGAAAATTTTCATCAATGTAATACATTTAAGCAATACAGAGGAGCATAACAGAACGCGCACATGCATACCCAGTTTATGTTAAACAAAAAAGAAAGCTCTTCTCATAATGCAGCAAAGAAAGCGTCATTGTCCAAAATGTCAACAACCTCCGAAGACAATTGATTCCATTCGCTAATAGATTTAGGGAAAAACGAAGATTTAAACTGGCTTGTGTTACATTTATATTAGCGCACCTTTCGTTCGTGATCGACACGATGAGAGATATAATGCGGGGGGAAAATGTAGTTCTCGCGCTGTATACCAATTCTGCAGTGGTAAATGTTATGAAATAATTTTAGCCGTAGTTTTTTCCTTCTTTTTTCAAGAGATTCCCAACCTAAGAATTCCTTCAGACTTGCCATGCTGAGTCGCCTGTTATAATTCCCGGAAATATATCTAGCCGCTGAGTTTTGAACTTTTTCAAGTTTATTTCTATCAACAGCAGTTGGTGGGTTCCAGACTGAACACGCGTAAGACCCCCTTTTGACAACGGTCCGAGGCTTGAAAGATAATTATGGTGTTATTTTCTCAGGACCATTCTTCCTGCGCTGCTCATTGTAAAAAAAAAAAATATATATATATATATATATATATATATATATATATATATATATATATATATATATATATATATATATTTTAAATATTTTTAAGCAATATATATATATATATATATATATATATATATATATATATATATATATATTGCTGTGGGGCACATAACAATTCGGAGTTTTTCGGATTTATCCGAAAACACGGAGCCCTAGTTATAATTGAGCTTTTCAATGGCGCCTCCGAGTTTTACCTCGCGTACACAGGCGTATTAAGAATACAGTAATTGCAAAAATTAATATTTCGTCTATGGACGCACGAAACAAACAAACTTCCTGATCAACAACACTAATGTAAAGGCGCGAGCTCGATGTGTGCATACTTTTTGGTTGCTACAGCTTGTTGATTCGTACATAAGCAACATCCCCGAGCTCCGCAGCGTCGAGATTCCCAGCACTGGCTCGTCCACATACCTCGATTGGAACGCTAACAGAACGGCTCAAGTACAAAAATACAACAAGCATGTATTAAGACAAGCTATACGACTCGGGCTCGTGCTAAAGCTTCGAGGTCTGGCCATTTAGGTTAGTTTAGAGACCACAAATGACGCTCTCGGGACCAGAAAACATGAGATATCTCTTGTCGACGTGTCGATCGAAACCGAAACCATGCCACTCCTCACTAGCCAACTAGTTCCCAGAGTGCAACGCGCGCCGTGTTGCATGCAGGGCCAGCTAGCGCTACTCTGCTCCTACGGAGCAGAGTAGCGCAATCCTTTGAACTCCGTGTTTTGCCGACAACATGGCCGACAGAGCGGCTCGGCGCGAGTCACGTGGTACTCAGGGTTCCAGGAGGCGGCCCGCCCTATGGGAGAATACATGGAGATCGACACAACACGGCTGATTAAAAAATGAACGGCGAGTTCACACTTTTCAAAACTAGTCTGTCGTGAAGTTAGTAAAGCACTAAACACCTTATCAAAGTTTTAACAATATCGGATACGTGTGCAAATTTTGAGAAGGCAATTTCCAAGGCAATGGCGTTTGAAGCAGACGATTTTTGCTCGCAGCGGAGATGGGCTTTTCGGGTTGGCCGGAGCGGGTCACGTGAATGGTGTGACGTCGCCGTGTCGTCTGCTGCATGATGCCGCTCAGGCAATTTTTTAAAAAAAGTCAGGTCCTTGCGGGGCACAAAACTTAGCGCAAATTATTCTAAAGTGTTCCATTATTATGTCAAAAATGATTGCGATGCCGTACGTTCCCACAACACTGAAGAAACAACGATTTTCTCACGTTCTCTATGCATTTCTGACCGCAGTTGGAACCTCCTGGCGTTCGCCGCTAGTCGCCGAGAGGCGGCGTTCTAGATTGCGCTACTCTGCTCCGAAGGAGCTATATAGTGCTCTAGGGCCAGCAGGGCTTTATGGAAGTAAAACTAAATTGTTGAAAGTTGCACCAGGGGCGCCACCATCTGCACAGCGTCGGCATCTTTGCGAGAGAGCGACTGGAGCGACTTTTCTGACTTTCCGAAGATGAGCAGCAATCCCGGTATGTGTTGCGTCGTTTCTAGCTTCTCTCGCTGCGTTTCAACAATTTGAGTGGACGAAAACGCCGTGCGTGAGCAAATATTACGCCTGGCAAACAAAATGACTTTTGTGGGTCGATTAACACCGTAGACGTGACGTTTGGGCCTGTCGCTTGCGTACTCCGCTGCATCTTTGGTCTCTTGTTTGACGAAAATCTCCAGTTGGTTAAGGCGTTCTTTTTTCGTTCAAAAGTCGGGTAGCTTCTTGCATCGCTTTCCCAACCGTCATGCTAAAGGATCGCGAACTCAGACTGTAAAGGCGCAGCTAAATTAATTAGGAACCCTTTGTTCGCGTTAAGCCGTAACCTCCTTCGTTCTTGCGGTGATATATGAGAAGTAGCACTTGCAAAGCCTTTCTTGTACGATTAAGTAATTTGTCCTTCCTTGAAATGAAATTACATTGTTACGCGGTGTTTGGGAAAAGTACTGACGGACTGACAGAATGGACAGTCTAGTCGGTCATTTTGGCTTTGCATCTGACAGCTCAATGCGATTGTGGCGTTTCAAATTGTGATTTACCCGAATCAAATGTGATTACCTAAATCAATCAACCACGCTTCTTAAACCTGGCAGAAGTTCCCAGATTGCCAGTAAATATTGAGGTGGTAATGGACGTTCTTCTGCTTCGGGGAATAGCACGCCATTTGGGTGTTTTTCGAGACTGCAGCTCTAACCCCCTCACTAACCCAGTAACAAACACCTATTAAAAAAAAAAAAAAAGGACATTTAATTTTGATTTTGTTTGATGTGGCACGACCCCTTTATTAGGTGGGCCGCCTGCTTTCTGCTAAAATTAAAGAAGGCAGCAGACGTTTTGTTGGTTTCATCAATATGGTAATCATGTGCAATTTGCAAGGAAAAGCTGCTTTTTGGTGTGCACCTTGTGCTGCAATGGGCATGAAAGGGTTAAATATGTGTGAATTCTAATGCAAGTTTTTCAACGCTGCCATTTTAGTTCCTGAGGAAGAGGTGAAACCCATTCCAGGGGACCTCAAAGCTTTGCCAACCACAATTGGAATCGACAAGTCACCACCAGGTAACACTGGGGTACTTGAATCAACTGAAGAGCTTACTTAATGCACTGCACATAGTTGCATTTTTTTTTTATATATAAAGGGGATACCATCATATTTCAAGCAAAGCCTAGTTGGTGTTGGTTACAGGACTAAACTCTGTTCACAACCCGCTCTCTCGGTTAGATGATTTGGTCACCAGCTGATGTGATTGTTTTAGGCAGAATGAACTAAATGTTGGCATATACATACATGTTTTGAGCTTAAGTGTAAAGCTAGGTCAAGACTAAGATAGGAAAGATCTAAGCTGTGAAAATAGGTACTACAGTGGTATCATGATTTTGCATGCCACGGAACCCCCTGGCCACCAAAAAACAGCTGTGGAGGTAAGTCGGATGGAGTGTTCCTAAGGTGGGCACTAGAATAGTAGGGATGGAACTGCTGCGCCATTGCGCGCTTAATGAATTTTCATGCGCCACACTGATACAAAAGTATAAATAATAACAATTGCTCCAAGGTGTGCCCAATCTGGAATTATAAACGAGCCTCGTCGAAATTTGCCGTCTCGCAGATTTTGTTGGCAACATTGACATCACACATTCCGGCCCAATGGGAACGTTAGTGGATCCGAATTCGAAGCTCTGTATCCAAATGTCACTGTCATGGTTATACTTTGTTTCAGCTTAAAACAGTTGTTACAGCATTCTCATTGCGATGCTTCTACTGCCAGACCTCTTTGAAGCCATTCACTGCTGTCGCCCTGCTTCATCTAAGTTTAACGCAGATGATGCTACAAGCGAGAGCTCCGGAATTTCAATGTCCCTGCCAAGAACGCACGTTCATGCAGTGCAGGCACTGTTCAAGGCCACATGCTGGCACTTGTAGCATCGGCTGCGTCTGCTGCCGTTACTGTGTGCTTTTCTGAAATGCAGGAGTAATTTCATCTGAATAGCAGAGCAACTGCATCGCCATATTGCAGTAAACTCAAATCGATTTAAGTTGGCACACCTCTCTCTTGGATATAGACGTTTCCACTGTTTACAAAAGTCACAGTCTGCCCGTGCAAAATCACAGTTCAGCCAGCACTCACTTGCAATTGCAGCCAGCCAGAAACTGCGCATGCATAACACACAAACACAGTATTGAATGCGCTCTAATACGTTTTTATGGAAAGGTGTATTGCAAGCTTGCAGCCCATGTTGGCCTGCCCGAGGCCCCACGCAGAAAACTTGGGAATATAACAAAGGCAAGCGAGCAGTGATGGAACAAGGCACGAGCTGAAGGCTATTTCTTCCTGTTTGTTTACATTTACCTCTTTGCAGGTTGGTTCCATCACGTGTCACACAGTCGTGCAGTTTTGCTTTATATGATTTATCTAATTTTCATGTAATTTCGTGAAAAATGTTTTGAATAAAATGTTAATTAGAACTACTGTTAAGTTCACATTGAGTTATCTACATGCCATATTTCCTTGAGTTATGAAAACCAGGTGACATTTAGCATCCATTTTAATTCTTAAAACTGGTATTCTGCTCCCAACTTGCTTAAAGACCTCGTCTTTGCTGCTCCCAACCTGCTCCAAACTGTAGTTTTTTCTGCCCAGTTCTATCCCTGGAATAGCGACATATACTAATAGCACCAAGTATCTAAGCATAAATAATTATGGAGTTTATTGAGACGTTACTAAGTATATGTAAACCATTCAGCAATAATTCGCGTTAATATCATTAGCATGCATTATTTGTGAAAAATAAACAATTTGGAGGCATTAATCTTGTATTGCCCTCACTGTGTGTGAGATCTGACAGGCTGTATCATAGATGAGGATGCATGGCAGTATACAACAAACAGCCTAGAAAACTGAAATCGGATTAAATATTTGTAAGTTCTAATTAGTACCGTAACCTCATGTATGAGAAAGCAGCCTGAACAAGCAGTTACACAAAGTGTTAGTGACTTGTACTTACAAAAACAAAAAAGTATAAATACTAATGTTTTGCAAACATTAAAATTTCTTAAAGGGACCATGAAATGACCTTTTTACTTTTTCCAGATAACTTTTACATTAAACCGTCAATGTTCACTGAATGCCGAACAGGCATCCGTTTTCGTCTCGGTTTATTAACTTCTACACAAAAAATTATTGAAATATCGACTTTTTCATTCTCTCCAACTGACCGCAAAACAAGCCGTGACGTAGGCCGTTTCCGGAACCGGAAGTTCTCTCGGCAGTAGGAGAATGGGAGTGTTAGTGGCAACGAGTTGGGGTGCGCCGGTAGGTTTTACTGCGCTGATGTCACCGACGTATTTCCTGAATCGGCGCCTCTCATCGCCGCATCGCAGCTGAGCGAAATTCAATGAGATATGTTGCGCTACAGCGACAGCATGGGACTAGTCCCATACGCCGGTATGCCTGTTGGGAAGTGCAGCGAGTCTTCTGGTGAAGACTCCAGAAGTCAACCACCCTGTCATTGTTGGCAGAAGGGCCGGCCCATGTCAGTCGTTTGCAAAGCGACGTAGATGGCGTTTTTCGCGGCCTCGGAGATGCAGGAGCGAGCCGACGTTAAAAAAGATACGTTTGAACTACGAGTGTCAGCAAGAGCCACGTAAATACCTGTTTACACTCGGAGCGGACGCGCGCGCTTGATGGAAGTGCTGTATTCGCGCTGTTTGTAAGCGCTTCGGGACCGTTCTTTTACGATTGCAACTCGATACTGACGCGACACTCGGCAAAGAAAGGTTGGACCGGGGTTGTACGTATACCTCCCACGAACTGTTATAGCTCGACAGTGACGTGCAGTCTGTCAGAATAAAAATGGCATACCAATTACAAAGTGTACATACCGTGTTACGAAGGTAATCCATACGGCGTTTATTTCAGCTCTATATCACACAAAACAAGAAGATAGAATCGACGAGAGTCCCTTTTCGACGAGTGTTCGTCAACACTGCCTCGGAAAACAAGGGGAAGAGATTGACCTCACCTCTTAATCTAGAATTGAGGTCAGTGATCAAACTATAATACGGGAAGGGTCCACAAGGGTTGCGCGGGCATATTCCATTTAGCACGCCAGCCGGTCGTAGGCAGACGGTCTTGCGACGAAGCAACGCAGCGCCGAGTCGGAATGCCTGCTAGGCCTATATTCTGAGCAGCTCGCTTCGTCGGAGTCGGTGGATCCAGCGTTCTTGTTCGTCGTGGTCTGTTTCAAGTACTGTTTTCTTGCTGCTTGAAGTCGGCACGCGCGGGAAGAACACGTAGAAAAATAAACGTTCAGTCAGTCAGAGTTTTGAGAGGAAGGAAAACAAAGAAAATAAATGTTCGTCGGTCGCCGTCACCCAAGTAACTGTCGGCCCTGCCCTACTGCGCACGCGCAGTAGTTGCTTCGTTTACCACACGATAGATGGCGCTTGGCTCTCAGCATTATCAAATTTGGCAATTTTCACCACACATCTCTAATTATGCTACAAAATGTGGATCTGAATATTATTTAACAAAACTTTTAGGAAACATTCGCCGGCTATTTATTGTTTACGATCGCGCTGCTGGTGAGGTAGGCTCTTACCCAATAGGCGACCTGGATTTGGCTGACGTGCTCCATTTCCGCGGATGCATCGTAGTGAACAGGCAAAGGAAGGAAGGCGCAAAAGAGTCCAGTTTTCTTTTAAAAGTTCTATAGCAAATAATTTTTCTTGGCTCCCTATTTTTGTGTTTTTGTGTTTCTTTTCACACCTTTTACGACGTGCGGTGGATGAAACTCGATTTTAAAATCATTTCATGGTCCCTTTAAAAGTAGTTTCCAATAATTTGTTGTTCAAATATTGACTTTGAAGTGATCCGCGATATTCATACTCTTCCAAGTGTTCAACGCAACGGGTTAGTGTTATTGGGCGCACAGATGCTCGGTGAGATGCACACTTAGCGGGGCTAATCTGCTGCGATCATGTAAGCGTATATGTTTGGCAGTGATGTCTTGACACTCTGGTATTCACCAAACAGTATTTCCATGTAGCGAGCCTCGGTTAGGATAGCTGCAACGAATCTCTCGCTCACATGCCACAGTTCATATTGTTGTATTAAAATTACAGATTCCCCAGCCACTTCCGCGATTGTCGACTTTTCGAGGATTAGCATCTCCGAAGGTCGCGCAGCGGGCGGTTGACTCAAAAGGCGGTTTGTCACTGGGCTGACAGCAGGTGTAGCAGCGGAGGGGGCAGGTTTCGTTGACTTTCGCGTATCGCCCAGAAGACGTTTCGCCGTAGTTCCCGTGTATGCATTTAATGCCGTAATCATTCGAAAGAGCCAGGGAATGTAAGCCCCCAGAATGAGCAGTCACTGGAAGACCGATGCGGCGTGTGCTTTGAGTGACGGAGGGGTCGCTCTTGGCGCAGGGACCAAGAGTGAGGGAGTGAAGTCGTGCCTCAAGACTGAACCGTCCTGTGCCAACTCTCACAAGCCCCATTCCATTCACGTCATGCCAGCAGTCGACGCGTCCGTCGAAGGTGGTGAGTCTGACTTCTGCGTGCACAAACGCATTTCAGTGCTACTGGGTATGCCTGTCTTGTGCCCTCTTACTGCCCTTCTTGGAAGGTTGTGTGATCTTCCTTGTCAGGCTTCTCCTTTCCTTTCGTGTCCCTCGTGCTTGTCGAAGACGAGAGGCTTAAGAACAGATCGACATCCAAGATTCGGTTTCTTTGTGGTTATGTTACAGAGGCCCAGTAGATTTTGACTTTGTCTACTTATGCTACTACCCCAGTGCATATGGCCTAAACATCCTAAAAAATGAAAAAACAGCATCGTGTGTGGCCTTTATTTTTACTAAAAGTTTGGCCAAACATGGCAGCGACCCACTGTTCTGAGTCTCAAAAAAAGGCATGTTGCAGCCTCAAGTACCCTGAAAAGGCATTCCTACATGCGTAAAACTTCACCAGAACACAGCCTGCAAAGGCCCGACTGTCATGAAAAAATGTATTTTTGTACTCAGAAAAAGTTTCTGGTCAAGTATTGACTGCCCTTCACTTTCTGCAGCCACGTGCAATGACAGAATTTGGAATATTTTGGTTTTAAGTCATATTTGGCATATCTTCATAGTAGGATCCATGAAACATAACTTTATGACAAGTAGAACACCACGAGTAGGTTAATTAAGAAGAAAAAAACTCAAACTCAAAGCTGCGGGGACTGGGACAGGATATGCGAGTTTTGGAGTGTCTGACATCCCATTCCTATGTACTGGTTCTTTGGCTTCCCCTGGACCTTGTTTATTTTTTTTTTTTCTAGCAAATACTAGTAAAATGTAAAGATGCTAGTATGTTGCTATTATATGCTAGCACTTCGCACACAAAAAAATATACCATAGGATGCCGCGACCCGCCCATTCCACACTAAGCGCCCTTTCCCAAAGTTTTAAGATCTGAGAAAATATGAGCAGTACATTGATATGTCAAATTGATGACCGGACAAGCGTCCATTCCCTATTTTTTCGCGGTTATCTTTAGATATTGAGTGGGCGCTTGCCCGGTATTTTACGGTACATCTTTTTTTGGGGTGCCAGAGGCCCTTTAATATATTGAGGCTTTGGTATTTAAACCCTTAAAAAAATCACCATATCATTGAGAGCCCTTGAATTTTGAAATGAAAAATTTCTGGGAACCTTGTGCGTACCCAGTTCCTACATGCACTTTCTCTATTTTGTAGAGGAAGCCTGCAGTGTTTTCCCACCTGGTGACCAAATACATTGAAACCTTGTTCTCCCCCTAAGATAAACCGAAGGAAGACAAGGGTCCGGAGCTAACGGAAATCTCGGCAGCAGACCTGGAGCCCGACGCCACTGTGAGTTGGCCATGGCCTCTCAGTCCCTTTGCCTGTGGTCCGTTCCCCCTTAAAGGACACATGCAAAGGAGAAAAACATTTTTTTTAAACGGCTTAGATGGAAAAAGGACGCCATAAAACGATTTAACAACGAAGAAAAAAAATTCTTAGAGCTATATTTACGGCGCAAAACGAATTTGTAGTTGGCGCCCGCGGGCACCGCGGAAAAGTGGTCTGTATTTATCACGTGACTGGTCTTTATTTATCACGTGGTGCTTGCGTTCTTTCGGAAGCTTCCTATGGCCTCTAAAAGTAACTTATTCATCTTTGTTTGAAGTATAACAAAAAACTAAGAAGAATAAGTATCTTTTAAAGCCCAAAGGAAACTCCTGAAAAAGCGCAAGCAGACGTGATAGACCTGTGCGCCGGCCAGACGACGGCGGCGGCGCCCCGAAGCAGACGAACTTGTGCGGCGGCGGCGACGGCGGCGTGGAGAAACGCGTTGAAGCGGCGTTCGCAGAACGCTCAGCGTGCGGCGGCGACGCAGCGCGGCGGCGCGCGGGCCTACCACGTGATTAGCGGCGGCTCCCGCGAGCGCCAACTACAAATTCGTATAGCGCCGTAAATATAGCTCTAAAAATTTTTTTTCTTCGTTGTAAAATCGTTTTATGACATCCTTTTTCCATCTAAGCTGTCTAAAAAAAATGTTTTTTTCCTTTGCATGTGTCCTTTAAAGGGACACTGACACCCCCCCCAAAATATTTTTTTCATTTTTTGCCAGGCGATTCATTATGGTGTCAGAATACTACCCAATTAATATTTTGCTACAGAGTCACATATTTTTTTAATAAAGCCAGAAAACGCAACTGCTTGAAACTGAAACCGAAACCCACGCACTGCACGGAGATGTAGAGAGGAGAGAGTGAGTGGCGGAAGTCACGTAGCTGCACCCAACCGTGCGATTGCTTTTTTTTTTTTTTTTTCTGGGTGCAGCAGACAAAATGCGTTTGGAATCCGTTTGCCGTGCGATTCCTTTGCAGTTATGTTTGTTCCGCTCGCTGTTCTGTGCTTCAAGATGAGTTGTTTTCCACATTTAAGTGTTAGCAATTAGTAGTGAGTGCCCGTGGGGAATTCCCGTGATCGGCTCCGAAAAGAATATTCCCAAGATGTTGCGTGAAGAGCTGTCTCACATCTGAAAGTGGCATTATGCGGCAGAGGTGTCAAAAATGGAATCCCATACAATTTAGTTCAGCGACGTATCGTCCACAAAGAGTAATTTTTTTTTCAGTGATAATTGTAAAAAAAAAATGTAAACATCGCAAAAAAAAAAAAAAATGGTACGCCCACATTGGGGATTGAACCCGTGCCTGCTGCGTGTGAAGCGGACATCTTTCCACTGAGCTACTAAAGGAACTGTTTCGTTCGTAGTAATACACCGGGTCAACCGTATGTCGGAAGGTTTGCTGCCGATATCTCCCGCACATGCACTCCCGGCTTGAAGTCGGGCAGCACCACGCATTGGCCACATTCGCACATAGCAAAAAAAAAAAAAAGTGTGCGTATTCAACTTGAAGTACGCTCTTTGTGCTTGATGTTTGAGCGAGAGCGATGGGACGGCGGCTCGGCGACGTATTCATGCAATCGGCTTGCTAGTCGGTCGTGTCGTACGGGATGAATATCCATTCTTTTGATCGGTCCAAAATTTCTCTTTCGAAGAAAGACGGAATTCGCCGTAGAGGTCCCATGCCCTTTGTCTGCTGTAATCCGCTAGTCCCACAATACGCGAAACGACGCCATGTTGAGAATTGTGCAGTAAACGCACAGAATGCTGCCGGTTGTCTGTGCAACCTTTTTTTTAATCAACGTATTTGCAGCTTTTTGGAAGCCACAAAAAATGGGTTTCATATTTTTTTCTATTTTTTAATATTGACTGTGTGCCTTCAATGACCCACGACTTTGATTATATTTGGTGGTTGCATTGAAACCTTAGAAAACGGTCCGTGACCACGGGAAAGGAAGTGAGCGCGACTCATACAAGCCAGTTCTCGATCGGCGGTTTTCAGGCAAAAAAAAAACAAATTTCGAGCCGCAATTTCTGTTCTGGGTAGTTGGGCTCTCGTATGTCACGTACAACTAAAAACCTTGGCGAGCATAAATACGCTGTCAGTGTCCCTTTAAGCTGAGATTGCAGCCAGTGCCAAGAGCACGAGAGATTAAGATTGCTGCTTTGAAGCATTCTTCAGCAGAACGAGCGTTTGCGCTAAAAATGCATGTCTCAAAGCCAGGAGCGTGGGTTTGCACTTGTAGCTTTGGCTGCAATCTCAGCTTAACTTAAGGGTGAATGGGGTATAGACCGACACGTGGCGTGGCTCTATTTACCAACACGGCCAGAAGTTTGCGCATGCGTATAAGCTATGTGGGCAGAAGCGGCCAGGCACTCAGTGTTTTTGCCATTGCACTGTGTGGCGTGCGCTTGCTGTTGATGTTGTAGAGACACTTCTAGCTTTATTTGTGCGTCATATTTCGTGCCAACATATGTCGTATCTTATGTCTGACTATTTGAACTGCCTACTTGAGCCTGAACGGCAGCGGTATCGAGACAAACTGTGCATGCACGGTGTTACCTTAGACCAGTGGTTCTCAAATGGGGATCTGCGGACCCTTTGGGGTCCGTGAAGTCATTCTAGGGGTCCGCGAAGCCTAGCCACATCAGCCAAGCCCGGAAATAAAAGTTGTCTTTTCTCAGATTGAGAAGAAACATTCCAATTTTCGGGTGCGTTTCCTCGTGTAAATGTCAATAAAAGAAGTTTACTTCACACTAGCCCTTAGTTATTTCCATTTATTAAATCACTATCGTAATTAACCTATACTTTCCCTTCCCCACACCACAAATACGGTCCTCCTTCATCTCCGACGATCCACAAGGGGTCCGCGAAACATCAATGGCTGAGAACCACTGCCTTAGGCGATCCGTACGCCGTAAACATGGCCTGCTAGAGTTCCAACATGAAGTTGCTGCCACCGACGTTGATGGCTCACGTCGTCGTTTAGTTTTTTAGCCAGCCAGTTCACGGCCAACACTGCGCAGGTGACGGGCATACAATGCACGGGCCCCGCCAGCTCGAGCCCGGCCCGGCCCGCGGGCCGGGCTCAGGCCGAGTAGCACACATTTTCTCAAGCCCAGGCCGGGCTCAGGCTTTAACAAAATATTTTTTGGGCCGTGGCTGGACAGTCGTGTGCCGCAAATTCTAAATTGTTAATAACAAAAAGTGTGCTCATTGATCTTTTAGGATCAATAGAAACGCTATGGTGCCATTAAAAAAACAAACAAAAAAAAAACATATTTTTTTTGGAAAGTCTTCACGTGAATAAAAGGAAACGTGTGGATCCCACCAGCATACTAGGAAAGTCCAGTCTCGAAAACGAGGGCACTCCAGTTGGATGGTGCAACATGAGTGTCTTTTTCCTCTGCCTTTCAAACTAAAAATAAGAAAAACAAAAATGTGGCTTGCACTTTGTGCCACCAAAGATAAGCAAAGTACCATAGAAAATTTAATGCTTATACAGCCTTTTGAAGATACAGTAGCGTGACTCTGATTGTTTCTTTACAGAAACATGTAAAGAGGAAAGTTCTCTGTGAAATGAATCGATTGACAAGAAGTCCAATATCTCCTCAAGAAATGCATAAAAAAAGTATTGCCCACTTTTTTTCTTTTTCTTTCTCATAATCATTTATGAAGTGCATATTTCGCCCATATTTTGAAAATGCTACATCGTTTAAAGGGGCGGTGCAACGATTTTCGGACTTCGTTCAAAGATTTCTGGAAGTTGCCCCCTGACACTTCTGAAGTAAAGAACAGAAAACCGATTTCGCCTGCATGTCCTAGTTTTTGCGTAAAAAAAAGATAAAGATTGGCATTTGGGCACCCCTCAACTCACTTCCAGTCTTCAGGGTCACACCTAGTCGCACTACTAGTGACGTCATTCGGAGTGCCGTGTAGCTTCCCGTGTGCTATCTCGGAGGATGCTTCCTCTCCCTCTCTCTGCTGACATTAGCGGGCATTAGGCTGCAGCTTAGAGCCGAGCGAGGTCACGTAATCTTTCCATCGTAGTTCCTTCGGCTGCCACTTGGGGCTGCAGGTGGGGGAAAAAGCTCGACATTTGCTTTGCGATTATGCAGCGGAATCGCGACATTTTTAATGAAGGAAGTGTTTTTTCTATCCTCTGGGACACGATGAACAACGTAAAAGTGACGAGATGCAAATTCTTTTAATCATAAAATCGTTGCACCGCCCCTTTAAGTTGGGATACATCATTATCGTGCCAAAAAGCTTGGTCCAAGTTTTAAAAAAAATTTAAATTAAATATGCTCGCTCTATGCTCAGACAGTTCTTAGGTTAAGGCCTGCAAACTTTTTCGGGCTCATGTGTATAATCTGTCAAGCTCGGGTCGGGCTAAGGCTTGTATTTAAAAAAAATTTTGTTGGGCTCCGGCCGGGCTCAAGCTTCTGTCCAAAAATTCTGCTGGTCCTGGACTGGGCCCTGGCAGTGTTTCTTCCGGGCCGGGCCTAGAAATTAAATATTCTATCGGGCTTGGGCCAGGCCCGGGCTGTGCCTCTAGCGGGCCGGGTCGGGCTGGGCTGGGCCTAGAAATTCCAGCCCGTGCTGTGCTCTAGTGTACAAGTCTCTCGAGGCCTACGATTATTTGGAGCCGGTTTCTGCCCTGCCGGCGGGATCGGCAGACTGTGGGTCTGAGGAAGTGTATTTATTAATTGATTAAATGCACACAGTGTCCTTCAGTCAAGGTACAATACTTTTCTTACCCTCATGACCACAATGTATGACAAAAGGCCATGCTTTGTCTGTTCTGCCGCCGATCTCCTAACATGAACGGACAGTTGGGCTAGTTGGTCAACGTTTATGATAAAAAACAGCGTGAAGCACAAGGACACAGAGGAGAGAATTACACACAGGACAAGGTGCTGAAAACAAGACAGTGCCTTGTCCTATATGTATTTCTCTCCTCTGTGTCCTTGTGTTTTGCACTGTTTTTCATCAAGTCGATCTCCTTCCGCTTGGTATTGTGGGCGTAGCGAGCCACCGACGAGTATTTGGCCCGTACTTTGTGCGCGAACACCAAGGGAACAAAATCCGGGTGGTCTTGATCCGACGACGGTTTTCCTGCACATAAGCGAGCCACACCTGCCTTCAAGAAAGCAGGGTGTTGGAACGAAATGTTTTTCGTTCCGTTTTCATTTTCGTTCCATACAAAAAAGTTCCGTTCGGTTTCCGCTCCGGAACGAAAAAATAATGCTCCGTAACGGTTCGTAACGGTTTCTTTCTATAAAAAAAAAAAAAAAAGATCGCAACAAAAATTAAAAGGAACGTAACGTTTATTTTTACACAAAAATAGATAATTCAGGCGCTCTTAGAGGAATCCGCGGAAACGACATTGCTTCTGAGATCATGTTCATTGCCTTGAGAATGAGATCATAATCAAGGCACAGAGCATGATCTCAGAAGCAGCACGTCATCAAGTGTGCTCGGTGAAAGGCAAGACCTCTGGTCCGATAAAATAAATTTCAGCGCCGAGAAGGCCCTGAAGGCCCATAGGGATGAAGAAGTACACTTTTGCAACAGGGTATCAGACTGCCATATCCGTAGAAAAACAAAAGATGGACTTCTACAACGCCGGGTCACAAACTTCCCTCGCTTGCCGTGATCTGTTGTCTGTCTGTGTCGTCCGAAGAAAGCATGGAGGGAGAGGGCGCAAGCAGAGCCGTATATGTAGAGAGTTTGGCCATTCGTTGGGAAGTATTGGAGACAAATGAGGAGGCGCCATTGGCTGAAAGCTGGCTGGGCGTGTTCCAGGGCGTGTTCCAGGGCGTCTTCAGAAATTCGAATGTGACCAACCAGAAGCCGGAAATAATACCCCGGCGGTGGTCGCGAGAAACAAAGCTGATAACTGCATTGGAGTAACTCTCGATGACTGAAAATATGGTACACGTGATGTTTCAATCACGCTCATCCAAAATGATGTGGAGGAGTGCGACTAGCGGAACGATCGACATAATCCGTACGCCAAGCGCCGAGGGCCGGGAATCGGCCGTCCGAGCGGTCACACTCTGTCCGAGCAAACCAGAGTTGAGTGGCGCATTCGTTTCTTACATCTTTCTGCATGATCATGATCAAAACAACACGTGCACCCTATTTTCAAGCATAAAGAGTTACTACACTTCACTCTGACGCGCTTATTAAAACCATATACGAACATAGACCTTTGATCAGAACTGTTTCTCGGTACCACCGCTCGGGGATTTTTTTGGGCTTCTGGTTGGTCAAGAGAGCATGCCAAGCCCTCTTTCTGAGTCTGCCGCACGCCCTGGCTCTGCCCGCACCTCCCCATTGACCAAACTCTCTATATATACGGCTCTGGGCGCAAGAGCCAAGGAGAGCGTTGCGAGCGTGTGGAGGCGTCGCGCCACCGCGCTCTCATTGGTGGGAAGCAATGGCGCCTTGCGTCATGTTTTTTTGTTTCTCGTTGTATTTTTGTCTTTGTTTTTGCTATGCTTGTTCGCCCGGAGTTAAGACGTGGGGGCGATGGCTTGCTTGTCTTCTCTTTAATTATGGTACAAACCAACGGCTGTCTCTTCGCTGCGCGAAACGAATTACTGAAATACCTGATATTTTCCCTTGAACCGAAAACCGATAAGAAAATTTTTCGGTTTCACTCCGGAACAAAATAATAAATAACGTTTCGATTACGTTTCCGTTCCGCCCAAAAATATCGTTTTTTTCGTTTTTCGTTTTTGGTTTTCGTTTTGTTCTGATACCCTGCAAGAAAGTGCTCGCCGCACAAACAGTTGTCCTCGTGAGGCGACCTTTCTTTTCGATCAACGGATATTATCCACAATTCGCACCTTTCAGAGTTCGCCGTGAACTTGTGGAAGCTCGCTCCGCTACTTTTGCTGTACATTTCGGTGCAATCAACACACAGGTTACACAGCTTTGCGGCATGCTGGAATGCTATGGCAGCCATGCAAAACGTGTGCCCTTCTGCCCGCACCACCCGGCTCTGGCGCGATCGCAGCACCGCCGCAGCTCTGTGACGTGAAGCCCGTGTGTCGGTCTATAGGCATGTCGTTGCCTAGGCACTGCAAAACAAAAAATATGCGCGTCCAACCGCTTATTGTTCTTGGTGAAGTCTGCTTGCCTTTTTATTCTTTTGTTGGTTGTGACATTACACCATAGAAACCAATGATGAGATGAGAAGCATCCATTGTTTTCTGGTCTCACGACGATCACCATATTTACCCGTGTCATTGCTTGTTCAAAGTTACTACTAGACATTTCATTTACTTCTGGAACATAATGCTCTCACTAGTTGTATAGTTTGCTCTAATGTGTAGGTCCTCAAACTGGGTTTCTGGGAACCCTAGTTTCCCAGAGTACCTTTATGAACTCTGCAAGCTCCCAAATTTACTTGACACTCCCTTCCTTAAGCAAAGTGTTTTCCCAGTGAAAGCACTATTCTAGCAGGCTTGAGTCCCTTTGTGCTTCATATTTTTCACCCATTGATGCATAGCTGTGAGCTACACACCTGTGAGTGTGTGCATTACCGTTTACAAGGTCTGTAAGCTTCTGCTCTGGTTTGCTGCTTCGATGCCATGTTCATAAAAGGCCTCATTGGTTGTCATTGAAGGTAAATGTGAGTTTTTTCGAGATTAAAAAGTTGGAGAGCCCCTGCTCTAAACAACTCTGGCACTAGCGTAGGCACCGCAACTGCTCGGCTGTTTGAGAATGCTATTGGTGGATCAGAACGTAACCATGGCATCTGCGTTGTGATATGTCATTCCAGGAGGTCGACTTCAATCACAGCCGCATTGGGAAGCTGGAAAACCTGGAGACCCTCAGATGTGTCGAGGTACGCACTTGCCCCTGGCACCCGGCTGGACATCCGACAGCTGAAGGGACTCGTTTCGTGAATTGAGCGATTTTTCCGCTTTGCAGGTTTTAATATTGAGGGAGAACCTGATCAAGAAGATAGAGAACATCAGCATGCTGACCACCCTGAAGGAGGTCGAGTTCTACGACAATCAGATCACAAAAATTGAGAACCTCGACTCGCTTGTCAACTTGGAGTAAGCAAACTTTTTGTCCTGCCAGTTGATGCAGCTCTTTGTGCATTATAGCCTTAGATGCTGATTAACCCCAACCAGCCTCACACAATAAAAAGAAGAAATATATATGGGTAGTTTCATTTGAAATTGAACACGCTTGTCGGTGTGGGTCTTTCGATTTTTTTTTTTTTTTAATATATGTAATTGCCTTATTTTTGGAAAGAACAAAACTGCTTTTCAAAATTTTTTAAAAATATTTCGCTTCACAAAAAATTATTGAGTGAAGCAGGGTGGAAATCTGTTCTTTACTCCAAGATTTTTCTACCCAGTTCTGTACGCTAGTATGAATACGAGAAGCATACAAAACTCACAGTAATATTTTGTGCTCTTGTATGGTATTTTGACTATTTTTTAGTTCAAAGAAAAATACTTTTGTATTTTTGTTTATTGAGGTAAAAAATGTCAAACATTGTCTCTTTGACAGTCCGGTGACATCTTCAGAACCTTGTAACTCATGAGTTATTATATTTGACACTTATTAAATAATATGCGGGTGTAGCCCTATAGATAGGCTATCGACGGGCATAAGTTTAGTCTAGTTTATTTTAACAGAATTTTTTATATAAAATTTGAAATATCGTTGGAAATGAAATTAGCTGATATTTTGAACCCACTTTATCAAAAAATGCCATATATTATTTCGTTCAATTTTGTTATTAGTGCTGCCGATCATATGAACTTTCGATTGGCTTGATGCGATTTCCCCCTTTTCTCATTGTATCTTCTCAACAAGTGATCGAAATCGCTCTCGCGTTCTCAGAACGGCCAAACACAGTTTCCGCAGGTCGGCTTCGCTGCTAAGACTATACTGCTTATTTGTGTGTTCAAATGCAGCAAATTCATTGCAATTGAGAACACTCATGCTTGGCTACATGTTGTATTTTTTTTAATTTTTTAATGATGGCAACTAGCATTCCTTAGTCTGATAGTTAGCGGTGGAGCGGATGTTCCATTATCCGACGTCTAAAGCCAGGGCACAAAGGGCAGAGAAAACGGAACGAGCTTTTCATGTAGCAAGACCAGGGTCATATATCTGTATCTGGGGAGGGAGAGAGGGAGGGAGGGGGAGGGGGAAGGGGGGGGGGGGGGCTGTGTTCATATTATTGAGACACGACCATACTTCGTTTAGCTCGAAGGTGATGGGGTAGTGGTAGCTTCTCACTCGTGGGACCAGTCAGCTGCTTGCCTTTTATCACCTGACCCCTCCCTACAAGTGGGTTTGGTCAAGTGCATGATCGGCGAGGTGCAAGACTCAGTTGATCGGTCCGCCGAGCTTCGAAACCAAGTCAGCCTAGTGGTGAAGAAAGTGCAGCAGTGGTTTCTTGTCGCCCCCGCCATGCCAGGATCCTGGACATCTCGTTCAACCGGCTGAGTCGGATCGAGAACCTGCACAACCTGGTGAAGCTGAAGAAGCTCTTCCTTGTCAACAACAAGTTGAGCAAGATTGAGAATCTGGAGAAGCTGGTGAACCTCGAGATGCTCGAGCTGGGATCCAATAAGATCAGGGTGGGTAGCCATGCACTTCACCCACTTCAGGGGGTGGGGGGCGGGGTGCACACTTTTTGCCCTTCAAACTGCCTCCGTGGCTTTTCCTTTTTACAAGCACTTAACTAGCAGGCAAATTGAGCACAGGCGGAGAACTGGTGGAAAAAAGATGAGTGAAAGGAGATCATTGCAAGCCCATCTCTTGCCTATGCTGGCAGCTTCCAACTGTACATAAAACCATATAGAGGTGTTTCTGCTTCTTCAGCTGGGTTCTCCAGAGTTTGAAAATGAAAGTCGGGTTGAGCAGATTGGTCATACAATTCACACGTTTAGGGAGAGAACATCCTAGAGATGGACCGACATGTCTACAAACTGAGAGTGATGTGTGTCTTTCCTTTTATGTTCTCTCCCTAAATGTGTGTATCCCAGAGTCTGGTTTGAGAACTCGTGCTCTAGTTCATTACGCATACTTTGACTCTTGCTGAGCCACACATTGGTGGTTCCCCATGAAACAGACACCTCCTCTTTTCTCTTCATTTGGTATTGCTGACAAAGCTTATACACTTCTAAACTGTTTTCTTTTCTTTTTCAAGATAACCGAGTTTTATTGGGGCATTAGTTCCCTGGCTTTTAGGTTGCATACTAAAAATATAAAGCACAAAGAAACGGACAAGAATAAGAAGTAGACAGGACAGTGTGTTACCCGCAACAACATACTGAAAACATAAAGTGCAAAGGGACAGACGAAGAAAAGAAGTAGACAAGATCACAGCTACAGTCTAAGCTCATTATAACAGACCTGGTTACAACAGGCATTTGGATATAACATACCGATTTGCGAGGTTCGGTTGGTTTTCCTCTACATACCATTGACTAAACTTCATATCTGCATACGACATACTCCTTCTACAATAGACCGAAATCATGGTCAAAATCAAGGTCTGTTATAATGAGCTTAGACTGTATACTCACAACAATGAGTACAGCACTGTCTTTGTCTTTCCCTTTGCACTTTATATTTTTGGTATGTTGAACCAACTAGCCCACCTTAATTAATATAGTGCATACCTGCCAAGTCTCTGTATTACCTGGAAGACTCTTGAATTTCAACTAAATTGTATGGTTGTAGTACGATTGGCAGGAAAATTTCACGGAAAATTTAGATTGCCCCCCCGCACTTGAGTGGTGAGTTCTTGCCATTGCAACTAACGGCTGCAGTGATAGTGGAGCACAGCTGTATCTTGCTAGCATGAGCAGTGAAATATAACTGTAATGATATGTCTATGTGATTTGTTGTCAATATTTTTTTTTTTTTTTTTTTAATTGCACTTTAATTCTCTTGGATTTGGTTTCTCCAAACTTGCAGGTATGTATTAGTATATTTTAGGTTGCAGTGGGTTCGCTGAAGGCAGAACAGAAAAGTTTGAGATCTTCTGCTCTTGAGCATTGTAGATGTTTGTTGGCAAATGTACTTTCGATTCTGGCCCGCCTAATGTTCTGACTCCCCTTCTGATGCTGGGTCTTTCCTCAGGTCATTGAAAATCTGGACGCGCTGGTGAACCTGAAGAACCTGTTTCTGGGGAAGAACCGAATATCCAAGCTTGAGAACTTAGAGCGGTTGGAGAAATTGGAGCTTCTCAGCATCCAGGTAACTCTTGGGAAGGCTATCAGAAGGTTTTAAGACTTTACTACATTATAACAACATTGCCACTGTTTTGGGTATTAGTACTGTCACTATCAGGTCGTTAATAAAAATGTCATGGAAGACTTGAAGAACTATGGGTATGAAGAAAGAATAAGAAAATGGGTCAAGAAAGGACATGTGCTCCTCTTTGAAAGAGATACATATATTGTCCCTTGTCCTTGTCTTTCCTTGAACTAAAGGGTGTCTTAGATGCTATTGAGTTTATATATCAAGACTTGGGACTGTTGTTAAAGACGAAAACCAGAGGATATTATAATAATAATGTATGGGGGCTGCTTAGGAAGTAATGCCTCTCAGTTATTTGTCTCGAAAACTGTTTTTTCGACATCTATAAAATTCACTTCGAGTGTCACTGCATTTTTTCTGTTCACATGATCGTTTTTACGTAATACCGCCCGCTTCTACGGCTTTATACCAGCGTGGAACAAGGGCTTGCATACGTTCCATCTATGTGCAGGGTTTCTTGATAAACAGTGAATTTACTGTACTGCAGACTCAATAATTGCGGAACCTCGTGGTACAACTTTAGTGTTTGTGCATATGCTTTTATCACTTCTTCCTTGGTCGCACACCCAGCTCGACGCGCGTTGAGCGAAAGTTCGCGCTGCAGAACCCAGGGATCCTGGGTTCGAGCCCCACCCCTGCCCGTTTCGATCTAGATAAGCATCGTACCGGCGTGCGGTCGTGTATCACTACTGCGTGGTGCATGTTAAAGACCCCAGGCTAGCGGTTGTACTGCACTGGCTAAATTGCTCATCTACAGCGTGTGACTCGTCGCAACTTTAAATGGCTGACCAACTACACGCTGTATAAATATCCCCACAACCCCCAATTATTTGTTCCTTGGTCTTCTGAGAAATGTCATATCCTTCAGCTTGTTAGAATAGTTTTGTCATTGGTTAATTTGTAACAACTTTCCAGTGCTTGTATTGCTTGTAGAGACCCAATTCTTCTATCGTGGTTTTGTACATGATCTCAAGATCGTTTTCAACCGGTGCCATCGCTAATTTCTACGTGCTTTGAATTTCCCCGGGCGCCCATACCGACACCTTCTAAAACGAGGCCATAGTGCTGGATTTTCTACTTAGCCTAGTGGAGCCCAGCGTAAGGTACGGTCTGGGCACGAGTGTTGCATCAGTATTTGGCTGCAACTCGTGTCACTGAGGGAACGAGTCTCAGACAAACGCCAGTGCAACACTTGCATTCAATCTGTCCTCCGTGTGGGCCTCCGAGAACTGACATAGAGAATGCAGCACTACTGCCTCGTTACCTAGATACGCCCGAGGCACGCCACACGTACGAAAATATATCCTAGCCATAAGTAGAGTCTTTGAAAGTCCACTCAGATTTGGAAACTTGAGGGGCCTGGATGCAATGCCTAATTCGCTAGAAATTTTAGTCACGAAATAAAGTATTTTGCGGCCTTGCTTTCGTCTGAAGTGTAGGTTCTTAAACTGACTTCCTAAGAACCCTCGGGTTCCTTGAGCGCCCTCGTAACCACCACGAGTCTCACTTTTTTTTTTTTTTCAGCCGTTCTTGTTTTTTAAGTAAGGTATTCACCTAGGTTAAGCGCCGTTCTAGCGGATTATAGCCACTCATTTGTGCCCAAGTTTAAACCAAACGCTTTCTACTATCTACATTATTGTTTACAAGGTATATAGTTTCCTGTACCGCTTTGTTGCATTAATGCCGAGACCGGGAGGGGTTATTCCACTGCCATTCAAATCAGTTAAGGGTTCCTCATGATGGACAAGTTTGAGAACCCCTGGTCTGGTGAATGCCAATAACTCTTCAGGTAATTTTACTGCGGCTGACCACAGAATGTAAGAGGCTCTAGGGTTGTGAGATTGTGTGGTTTAATGTTGTATGTCATCTCTCAAGGTTTCTTACATTGTGTCATCGTGTTCTCCGAACAGAGCAACCGGATAGTGAAGCTGGAGGGCCTGGAGAAGAACAGAGAACTCTGCCACCTGTACATCTCACACAATGGCATTGAGCAGATTGAGAACCTGGAAAACAATGTCAGTACCTGCTCTTGATGCGTCCTAGAGCACTTCCTGTGCCTGCTTCTCGGGACTCAACCACCGTCTTGCCGTTTTCCCTAGAGCTACCGTACACGGCAGCTTTAGCTACCCGAGTATCGACACCACACGAAAAGTCCTGGGTGCAGAATATCGGAAGCACTAATAATAATCTCCATTTTGGGCCAGAGAGGTTGCCATGGTATCCAGGGCTGGGCAGTATTGCAGTCAAAATGTATTGCGATAGTATCTTAGATATACCTTCGAGTATCTGTATCTCTGTATCGTATGTAAAATGTATTTGTATCTCAGTGGTGAAATTCATTTAAGGTGTATCACTTGTATTGCCATACTTTGCCAGACTTTGGTATCTCGTTACATTTGTTGTCTTTTTTAAAACATCTGTTTGGTGCAAGTTGCTTCGTAATTCGTAATATGAACCCGCCCCATAACATGATCCATGTCAGTCACCAACATTAAAAAATAAGTCTGGTTTAAAAAAAGCTTATGGGCAAGAATAACAAAATCAGCTCCTCTCACAAAGCTGTCCACTCTTTCCAATTCAGCAGGGAGAACACTGTAAAGGAGTTAAGTGAAGAAAAATAATTGTCCTGTTCAATCTGCCTACACTATGGGAGACTTAGAAGAACAAATGCATTTCTATAAGTATCTGTATTCCTGAATACTTTCTCGCCGGTTTTGCAGAAGTACCTCGGGGATATTCTGTTGCATAAAAAACAGATATATCTCAGTATCCGTATTTTGGGCCTTAAAATATGCTTATCTCTGTATTCATACTCCTGAATACTTTTTGGAGTATTTCTGCCCATCCCTGATGGTAACCATGCTGTTGGCGACGCCTGATGGTTTCTTTATCAGTATGGCTTACTCTATATTTCCACCTATACTTTTAAAAGTGAATTAAAGCCACATCAAAGCATGGTTGGCATAGTGGCACGGAAGTATCCGAAGTTATGTGTGCCTCACTCGCAGTATGCTCGACGCTTGCAGGGACACCCATTGACAATTTTAGCTTTGCGCTGCCTTAGAAGTGAAAGTAGTAGATCACTCTGGTATGCCATCGATGCTCATCTCTGTTGGTTGCTATGGGGACCAAGAAGTAGCAAGGGAAAAAGCCTGGCTCTACTCCGGCAGCTAAAGCTGCCAGTGGCTCTAGTGTTACCCAATAGACCCTTTTCAAAAGTGGGCACCCTCTAGTAGCTGCTACGCTAATTATCCGAGTCGGTCATTGTTTTGGCACATACCGTACATATGCGTGTAACGGCCACAGGTAACTTTTTTATTAATTCATGCGATAACCAGAAGTTTTTCTCCATTGCATGGAGAAAAACAAAAATTTTTTTTTTCTAAATCCGTTTTTTCGTTAAGAAGACGTCCGTAGTTTGGCTTTGAACAAAGTCGCTGGTATCTCCTTGCTCCGTGCAATGTGGAGCGCTTTCATTCGCAGCATCTCTGTCGAAACCGCGTAACCATTGCTCCAGGTGCTCGTTACGAATTGAAGGACCAAATCTTTTAACTTCGGAAAACAGGCTTTGCTTGCCTCGGAAAGTGCGCTTTGTTGTCTTGGTCTTCCTTAGTTCATCTTCTTCAGAGCACCACCGGCGCACAGATTTGTCCTCGACACCGAACCTTCACCCGTTGTCTTGAGCAAAGGTAACAACTTTGAGTTTAAAGCCGGCTGTGTAACTCGCGTACCTGCCCATCCAAAAGCCTGAAGTGGATGACAGCAGGAAACTGAGGGTACTCGCAAACACAAAGAAATGCACTGCGTTGGGTTCGAGATAAAGCAAGAGGCGCAAACAGACAGGATCGGGTGCCTCAATGTTGTTGGCTGCCGCAGCCGGGTGGGCGCCATCTGCTTTTACACTACGAACTACATGGTGCTTCTAGCCATTTTTAAATTGTAGGTGCGGCCTATACACGGGTAATATTTAAATATATTCTTTTCTGCTTTTCTTTTTTAAGTTAGGAGTGCAGCTTTTACACAAGTGCGGCCATTACACGCATATATACAGTACTTTGGTCACATATTGGGCTGCGTCAGCGTACGGCGCATTTTGAGGGCTGCGTCAGCGTACGGCGAGGTCTCGGATCCAGTTAGGCGCTTCGTGCCCAGAAAATGCCATCCGCCAATGCTGCTTTATGGGCTTTTGAAAAGAATCTATTCGGGTCTAAACTGACCAAACTCTCCTTAACTGAAGTCCGAGGTGTAGCATGTTACTTTGTTTTAAAGTTACCATTTTTCAGCTTAGCTAACTTTGTAGCACGATGCTTTATTCTAGTCTGATGCAATATGGCCTCGGTTGCTGTTGCACCGTTGGACCTCAAAACTATTGCCACCCCCACAAAACGTTTTTCTAGCTCTGGCCTTCTATCACCGATATTTCGGGATCCCTTCTGGATTGGCAGAAGTCGTGAGAGATTCCATTTTCCCAGAGGGGGTGGGGGAGGGGAGGGAAAGGGATTCTGCTAAGGAAGGAAGCTGTCGTATGGCGCTTTCTATCATGAGGATGACTGCTCTAGAATGACGTACGTGAGGTTGGAGGAAAGGGGGATAGTGTACTTGTGCCAACACCAAAAGAAGTCAGCAAAGATACGCATGTGAGTGTGAGACGTTTTGGGTGCTGGAACAGGGCCAGTGTTCCATTACTTGTACCATGAGCTTTGTGAGCTGAAATCATTATGATGGGCTACAGGAGGCACTCAGTGAGTTGATAATGGAGGGACGACACTCCAGTTTTCCACGAAATCAATCCTATATATTTATAATGCAATTAAATGCAATGGTACAAGCGAGCTGGACAAGAATGACGAAAATAATCCCTGGAGCAGGGGAACAAGAGGGACAAAGGACAAACAGGAATCTCCAAACACAGCTAGGTGACTGGTGAGTAACCGAAAAAATCCGCCTGGTCCGGGTATCAAACCCGGGACCTCTCATAACCTTAAATTGCAAGCTTCACCCTTGTTGGTGTTAGACTGGTGGCCGCTGATAAAACCCGTTTGCTCTACTGACGTCTAACCCCTGGTTAGCTCAGTTGGTAGAGCGCTCCAGCTGTAATGGAGAGCTCCCGGGTTCGATACCCGGACCAGACGGATTTTTTCGGTTGCTCACCAGTCACCTAGCTGTGTTTGGAGATTTGTGTTTGTCCTTTGTCCCTCTTGTTCCTTTTCTCCAGGGATTATTTTCGTCGTAATCCTATATATGTTTGTTAATCTCATATGACAACGCTTAAACAGGATTTAAGACAGTTTTGATTTCTATAGTTTACTAAGAAAGCAATCTGAACGTGCAAAAGAACAACTTACCCTATTATACTATCAATGTATAAGTTTTGCCAAACTGTGTGGGGACTTGAGGACCAATAAAAGCTATTATTATTTTACAAAAATAACTAACATTTAAGTGAAAAGCGAAATGGCAGATTTGCGTCGTAGAATGGAGCTACAAATATGTATTTTCAAACGCACTGCTTAATATTACGGAATTACATATGCCAAAAGAAATTTTATTGCATTTATAAGAGCATGTATGAAGCTTTTCATATAAAAAAGTTAGAAAAAAATTTAAAATATGTATAGTTGAACCTTGATTTAACGAAGTCACCAGGACCCACTACTTCTTAAAATCAAGAAAGTCATATTTTGGGCATAGGCTGTGCAGGAAATCTGATTTCTTAAATCGTGAAATTTGTAAAATCGGATTTCATAAAATCAAGGTTCAACTGTATTTCCTTAAAGTAATGTTGAATTTTGTTCTAGCTTTTCTTGTCATGTTTACAGTGTTTTTTTTATATAGACCATATTTAATTTAACAATATTTTAATTTTTAAATATTAGATACAAGCTTTTATCTGATATGTTTCTTGTGCCTTAAATAAGTGTACATCGAAAACTAGCTTGATTCAGACTTGGCCCATTATTGTCAGGAGTGAAAGATTCAAAATTCTTTATTTTATAAAATAAAAAAGCAGGCTTTAGTGGACTTTAATCTTTCTATATAAAGTATTAAAGCAGTAAAAAAATTATAATTGTTGTGAAGAGGAGTATCTAAATGTTGCGGGACTCCAAAATGTGTCACTAGTGAAAACTGCAAAAATCGCAAGACCTACCTTCTACCCTTTCAAATCCCAAAACTCGAGAACAAAAAAAATTTCCCTAGTTCTAGTTTGCAGTTTTGTTCTAGTCACACATTTTGCACCACCATTTATTTTTTCCAGAAATATTTAAAGACCCTTATTGTTTCTTGCGCGGTTTGAGATGAAATCACTTGTTGCCTTTCTTGAAATTTGTGCTTGCCTGGGTAGTTCCAAACGCAGCGGTATTTTGTGTTGTTTATCGCAAGTTAAATTGGAAATGGATAGAAAACGCTGCTGTCCCGAGCCACAGTTTCTCAGAGATGGCCGACATTCTAGTAAACTTGCGATTTTTCGAGCTACCAGAAGTCAAGCACATTTTTCAAACCTCTTTTGTCCGAATTTCAGTTTGTGTTTTTTTACTTGCAAAAGTAGAATATCTGAGAAGAAGAATATGAGCAAGAACAAAATAAAAAGTGCTAAAATAAACTTGAGTTTTCTACCCAGGTCTCTCATTTATTAATCTGGGTTTGCAGTGTTGCAGGCTGCCAGCAGTTTTTATACCCAGAAGTTGAAGTGGGTCTACTAACTCCTATCTTCTCCTATTTTCCTAGAAATGTGAATCGGGAGCTCCCAATTTTTTAAGTTTTTTCTTTTTTTTTTCTTTTTTGTGAATGTGATAGGTGGTTTTGAAGGACAAAGAGAAGAATAAGGTCTGATTTTGCCATATACAGCAAGCTTTCTTTCATTTCAAGAAGGTGTGTCTCACACTGATTGCATGGTTTTTCCTGACTGAATATTAGACTTGATTTTTGTTATCACCTTGAGGCCATTCCTAAGTCAAAGTTCTTGGGGTTTTCATGCCAGAAAATATTTGATCCGTCTAAGACTGCATTGCCATTCTGGTCAGTTCACGGCCACTATATTCAGTGTCAGGTCAAGAGTAAAGTGATGAGCTTTGGATATAGAGGTAATGAAAATTACTGTCTATTGCTTATACTTGGGAGAATAGGGGTGGAAGTACAGTATAGAATTTTTTCAATGTTGAATCAAAAGGGTTCGGCTTGTAGAGTTCAAAGGCTCCTCGTATATCCCTTTCCTTACTTGGATAGATAACCTAGTGCATGCATCTTGTAGGTTGCCTAAATATAAATTATAACTTAATCTTGCGGAGTGCTGAACTTGACGGGTCAGTGAAGTACCAGATTTGCAGGCCAGGCCCAGGCCTGCATCGAACTTTGTACCATGCAACGAGCTGTACCCTACAGCGTCTTTTGTATGAACGCCGCTCCCACCTGCATTGCAGACAAAGCTGGAGACGTTAGACCTAGCAGCCAACAGGATCAAGCACCTGAAGAACATTGACCACCTAGTCAACATCGAAGAGTTCTGGGTAAGCTTTTCTTATCTATTGGCCCCGCTCATCCTTTTGCAGTTGAAGAACGGGAAATGGAGCTGGTAGGCATTGAGCAAAGTGGCAGGGTGCTAGGCGGGCAAAGACCGACGCAGAATGTTTGCTTCCCTCATCCACAATCGCGCAAATGTGAAACTCCCAACAAGAGGTAGTAATTAAGGTCCCTCTATATTGAAGGTAGTGCAGTCTATTGTCCGGGCATGGAAAGAAAACTTTCCTCCTCACCAACCCATCTCTTTATTGTGACCTCTCCCTCCTCTTTTCGATTGGATTGCATTTGACACGTGGCCAAAACCCTTCCCTCGAGCCCACGCAGTAAGGCTTGCTGCTGAGATCTGTCGCCATGAATGAGCAAGGGCAAGGCTTCCTGCTCTGCTGTATACAGCAAGTCTGTAGCTGTTCATCTGTGGAAACTTCTTTTTATAGCAGTGTGTTCTATCAGCTGATTTATATTGAGTTCTGTAACAGTTGGCTATGGCTGTTACAGAAATGTGTCCATAGAGGTACAATTACAGTTCAATGGAAACTCATTGTCTGTAATACTTCAAAAGAAGTTGTTTCAAAAATATTGGATGTCCTCAATGTTCGTAAAAATTAAGGCCAATTAGCCCTTGAGACCTGGCAGTAATGGTTCCATACTCTCCGTATCGATGTTCCATGCAACCACACAGTGGTACAGTCCACATCGAAACCAGCAGGGACAGGGATTTAAACCATACGTACCTGGCTTCTGCAGTGCAGTTTACTTGCCCATAAAAATATGAAGTGTCCACTTCAACTTCAATGGTCTTCTGCAGTGGTCGGCAACCAGCGGCCCACGGGCCAAATCCAGCCCGCGAGGCAGTATCATGCGGCCCCTTAACCTTCAACGCCCCCCACCCTCCCCCAGCGCGGTCAGCTAAAAAAGAAGGAAACAAATATAAAGTTGTCTAATTCGCTGCCCGTTGCCGGCTTTCACGAATGACTGACGAGAACCTCCACAATGTTTTGCGACTCGCAGTTAGTAGCTTGAATGTGGATGTCCGTAGTTTGGCGAGCGCAGTTTAACACCAGAAGTCTCGCTGAGAGGGGTCTCTAGGTTTTCGTGGAAATGTTAAATATCATGTCGTGTGTCGTGAAATAAAGATACTGTTCATTTTCGATTTATGTACGTCAGTGTGAGATCGTGCAAGTGTTCTTTTTTTTTTAATTTTAACCCCCCCCCCCCCCCTCCCTTTCCCGCTGCTTGCTGTCCGGCCCGTTCCAACTTAGCTTCACAGTGACTCGGCCCGCTGCGCCGAAAGGTTGCCGACCACTGGTCTTCTGCGTCCTTTGTTCGCTCTTCATGTCTTTACGATTCAGTGACAGAACTACTCCAGTTAGGCCCCTTCTTGGTTTCCCTTCAATAACGTACTATGAGCTTCAAGATTTTGTTTATCATAAAAATTGATCTCTTATCTTCTTATCATCTCTTATCTTCTTGTCATCTTTTTTATATTTTTTTATGTACTTTGCTTGTATTTTACCGAAGCCTATTTCTGGGCAAGCTATTACCAAAATGATACTGTTGGTTTTTGAAGTCTTACCATTGCGACTAGGATCACCGACTGCTATGTTCAGAGGGATCATTTTTTTATTGGATCTTGCATTGCCACGTTGCCTTGCAGTTCAACGACAATCAGATCGAGAGTTTCGAGGAGATTGAAGTTCTGAAGCACTTCCCCAAACTGGCAACAGTCTACTTAGCCAACAACCCCATTGAGAAGAACCCAATGTATCGGCGGAAGATCATGATGGTGTCACCGACCGTCACGCAGATAGATGCAACCATGTGCAGGAAGTAGCCCTTAAGAATGATAAGAGTACCTGTGAAATGTTCAGCTGGCACTTTTTCTAATCAAGTCCCACAGTTCAACTCGATTTTGTTTCGTAAACTGTTACGTCGAGATTCAACGAAGACTTTAGCAAACTTGCATCCTTCCTTCTTTCCTTCCAAACAATGGCTCAATGATGCTGGTTTTGGTCTTCAATAAAATGTCATGGGATGTGTTCTTTCTCTTCACACTAAGGTTATTGCCGAGGTACTGAAATAGCCTCTGCTATTTAGGTAAGAGGCCTAGCTTGTTTGGCTAGGTCTCTCAGCAAAGTTACTTTGTCTTTTGTAGGTCCTTGTGCAAAATGCTTGTTGACACTCTATGATCTCTTTCTACATGACCTCATTTTGCCTTTCTTAATCTTGAGGCTTTTGCACTGAGTCATGCTTGTCCTCCTGTGGAAGAAGTAAGTTTCTTAAGACTACAGAAGTGAGTGAATTTTTATAGCCAAGTCTAGCAATATGTAATTTTGGAGAGTTGTGCATTTTGTGGATCTGCATCGATGTGTCCACTTTTAATTTGAATCTTTATTTTTGCAGAAGGCAGTAAATGGACCTTAAAAAAGGTTTTCTAGAATTGTGGGCCACTAGGTAATTTTGTACCATCACGTCTCTGTCGCAGTGTGATCGATACAAGACCCAGTTACTTCAATACACCTTGAACTGCCGCCTTCGGATGTCAGAATTTCCAATGCAAGCAAAGTATTCTAGAAGAGTGTTGCATGACAGTGCTATTTGTGAAGCGAAGTGCATTTATAATCGATCGCGTTCTGCTATTGGTTTAAATTCTTTGGGGATCTTGTTTTGGTGTCATCCGTAAGGTCGTGTTGTTACTTGCATGCAGTCTGCAGTGCGCAACTTGTCTTCTACATTAAACATTTGGACTTCTGAATAAAAAATATTATTCTTATTTTCTCTTCTTTTTTTTTCTCGTTTATAAATGTAAAGGTCAATGTTAGGCAGGGCAGCTGCTTTGTGGGAACGAGTTCTGTTCCAAGTTTCTGTGAGGAATGACAATCCACCTCTTTCCAAACATGTGCTGCCAGCGAGGCATGCGACTTGGTTTGAGACTAAGTGACTAGAAAACAACCTGCGCGTGAGGCCTCTTCCACCCGTTCGATAGTCAAAACGTCAGCTATGTCATGTTTACCCATTGAGTTGCTGTGACCTATATACGGCGCCCCTCCCTTCCCCTCCCCCCAAACTTTGCCTTTGTTCCCATCATGGGTTATCTTCGACCCCGAAGTTGATGCAAAGAAACCATCTTCCCTCTCTGCTCGGCCAGAAGGAAAAAAGAGCGAGGGTACCAAATCAACCAATATTTCTACAAAAGGTCCATTAATAGCATGTGGGTTCTGGCTTTGTTTGATAGTGGACAAAATTTCATTAGATGCCATTTCATGGAATTGCTTCTGGACTTGTAAACAAATGTTTCTTGGAATCTCCTCCCTCTGTAGTGGTACTCTTAACGCAGCTATATTTTTATGCCAAATGGAAATGTTGTTGCAGTTGCTGCGTAGAACACGAATGCGTAATGCAGACTAACAAACATTCTTGCCACTTATTATGCTCTTCTGCATACTACTGCATACTAGGTGGTAATGCAGAGTAAGAAGTATTACTGGCGCAACAAGGCTTGCCATTTTACAATGCACATCTGACAAGGTTCAAACTTTAGTCGCAGCCATATAAACAAAATACTATGGGTGCTTTAAACACGCGCCAGATTGAGCCGCCATAGCCGAGCTTCTCTTGTCTTGCCGAGCCACTGAAGCGGGCGTTGAGTCCCCACAAAGGCCTATGCTGTGCAGGACACAGTAACACCTAAAATGGCAATAACCTGGCCTGCTGTGGTAGTGAAGTAAAGCGAACGGAATAAGAACAAAAATTGAAGGTTGGTTTTGGCGGCGCCCGTGCACAGCTGCCTGAAAGCGTCTATATATTATACTTTCTAATAAACCACTATTATATCTTGGTACAAAAGAAAAAGAGGATTTTGAGTAAATTGATTTCGATTTGCTAGGTGTTCTAAATGTTTTTTTCGGGTGTAGCACGATTGCCTCGCGTGCAGAATCCTTGTTGCAAAAGCCTCGGGTCATTAGACCCACGTTTTGAAAACCCCGCATTCAATACCCCGTCCCGCCCTCTTTGCGCTTCAACCAGCATTGTTCCATGTTTCATGTTTAGGGTCTACTAAGGGTATTTTAAGTGAAAGAAACAACCAAATGAGGTTGACTTGAACTGCCGAAAAACTTAGGGTGACGTACAAGCGGCTAATTAGATAAATCTAAATCACCACCGATGCACTCCTCTGTCATAGAGGCATACTCAGACGTAGAATTATAGACTTTATCTACCTAGATGAATACGAATGTATTCATAACATAATCCCAACTCAGTCAAAAACATAAAAAAAAAACTGGTTTAAAGAAGGCTACTTGCAAGAATAACAAAATCAGCTCCTCTCGCAAAGCCCTTCAACATCGGTACGAGAGTAACTGGTTCCAGTACCCTCTCTCTCTTCCTTCTGGCCGAGCGGAGAGGGAAGATGGTTTTGTTGTGTCGACTTCAAGGCGGAAGATTACGCACGATGGGGACAAAGGCTAGTTTGGGGGAGCCGTATCTAGGTCACAGCGTCTCAATGGATCAACAGGATGTAGCTGACGTTTTGGGAGTGCAACGGGTGGGAGAGGCCTCGCGCGCGCGTTGTTTTCTCGCCACTTAGCCTCGACCCCAGTCGCGTGTCTAGGTGGCAGCACATATTCACCAAGAGGTCCTATCCTGTTGTCTGCATAGAAGACGACAATTTGAGACGCGGCCTCACGGCAAAACAGGGCTAATTTCGGGCAGACGCCTTTTGTGAAGCATGATACGCAGTCATTACCGTTGTTACTATAGGCTCCTTGCACAAGACGTCATTTCCGATGCCCTCCAGAGAAGAGGGGAAGAAGGAGCTCCCCTCTTATCAGGATCTTCCTTTGTGCCTCCCGGATTTGCACAGGCGTCGCTATTCTCCCCCCTTGAAGATTATAGAAGATTAACCTGTTACTCAAAATTCTTACAAAAGCTACTTCTCTCTCCTCCTTTTACTTGGTGTTCAAATGTGTGCGATGTGACGTCAGTGCAAGGAGCCTATATGGTTCAACTAGGATGTTATGTTTTTTTAGCGGCTTCAGCGGTAAATAAAGAGTTCGAGGCAAGGGATAATGCATAAATTGGCACAAAAGGAGAACGAGCATAAATTACCACTCGCAGTCCCCGCAGACTTACACCCTCCCCACGTAGCACCGTTCGGGAACACATGTATTCCTTTAAGTATCTGTATTCCGGAATACTTTCTCGCTGTTTCTGCAAAAGTATCTCAGGGATATCCCGTAGCATAAGTGACAAATGTATCTCACTATCTGTGTTTGAGCCTTAAAACACTTGTATCTCAGTATTTGTATTCCCGAATACTTTTTGGAGTATTTCTGCCCAGCCCTGGCTAGGCAGCACACATTCGTAGTACTTAATTGTTCTCTAGCACTGGAAGCGGGCGTAGAAGAAGATTGACTCGGAACAACGGACCTTTTGTAGAAAGATCGGTTCGAGAGTAAATGGTTCTGGTACGCACTCTCTCTTCCTTCTGGCCGAGCGGAGAGGGAAGGTGGTTTCTTTGTGTCGACTTCGGAGCAGAAGATAACCCACCATGAAGACAAAGACGAGTTTGGGGAAGCCATATCTAGGTCACAGCGGTTCAATGAGCTATCTGTGGGTCTCTTGCCAAACGACTGGAAGACCGCCTCATATAGTTCCTATTCACAAAGGTGGTTCTAAGAAAGATGTCAAAAACTAAGGGCCTATTTTATCAGCCTCCATCTCATGCAAGGTCATAGAACATATTTTATATACTAAAATAATAAATCATATGACGTGTCACAAGAAAATTTACACGCTCTTTTTTACCGCAAAAATAAATAGGCATCGCCGCACGCTCATTCTCCGCCCAAAGGTAGAGTTAAAGGTCACAACCAGATGCCAAAGTTTCAGCCCGGTCCGATAACTTAATCAACAGTTATAAGTGACTTTCTGAAAATTTCAATGGGAAAATGGAGCCCATTTTTGCCCGTTTTCGGTTTCTGGCGCCCATAGAGCCCCATGTATTCGAAAACTCCGTCGGCCGCCATTTTCCCATTGAAATTTTCAAAAAAATCAGTTATACCTTTTGATTAAGTTATCGGATCGGGCTGAAACTTTGGCATCTGGTTGTGACCTCTAGCGCTACCTTTGGGCGGAGAATGAGCGTTCGGCGATGCCTAGTTCATCTTAGCGGTAAAAAAGATCCTGTAAATTTTCTTTTGTGACACCCTGTATTATCTAAAGAACAGCACCGTTTCCGTAAAGGCTTATCTTGCACCACGCGACTTGTCATCTGATGTTGATCAGATGACAAGTCATGACTTGTCATCTGTCATCAAGTCATGACTTGTCAACTGCTAATTACAAAACTATTAACCCACTTGACTCCCCCCCCCCCCCCCCTTCTACCCCCGTACACGCCGCTTTGAAGCCGGCAACCCAAGCCCCGCTGTCCCCCATGCACATCCATAAATAGAGTCCCATATAATTTAGTTCAGCGATGTTTCGTCGACAGCATTTTTTGTTGTTGTTTTTTTCAGTGTTAATCGTAGAGAGTAAACGTCGTAAATATCGACAAATGCCTCGACAAGACAAAATGTTCGAGGGGAAAAAAAAAAAAGAAAGAAATAGGCCCACACTGTATATAGAACCCGGGTCTGCTACGTATGAGGCAGACATTTAACAACTAAGTTACGCTACCGCTTCGGAAACTCGCATTGAAATTACTGCCTATGTCGACGGTAGCAGCGCCTATCTCCACGAACCAACCAATCCGGCGTGAGCGTCGTTGCTATCGTTTGTTTCGCCTGCGCTTTAAAAATATGCCCCCGCGGGTCGTGGGGCAGTGCCCTTGGTATTCCTTGGGCGCCGCCGGGGGGGGCAAAACACATGCCTCCCCCCTCTGCAAACTGTGGGGGGGGGGGGTGCAAGCGCCCCCTTGCCCCCCCCCCCCCCCCCGGGTTGGTACGCCTATGCCCGTTGTAGATTATAAAAAGTGCAGTACAACCTCGGGGTCTTCAACGTGGCGTTCCAAGTGGCACAGGACGGAAAATGCACATCAAGCTATTCTTGAACACGTGTCGCCATCTATTTGCCGTAACTGAATGGGAAAAGTTTGAGATCTAATAACATTCTTAACGTGTAATATATCCGTATGGAAGTTCTGGAAAATGTAATATTGAAGGATGCTTCATAATTTAATGTCTCGTAATTTTAATTAGTTGACAGGATTCTGTTTTTGTAGCACCATAAAATAATACCATTTTAAACTTTTTTTTTTATTTTAAAATACAGTATACAGTCTCTGTAGAGTTCATTGCTTACTCTTTTAATTCATTATATCCGACCGAACGCTCGCGTAAAATATCGTGGACAATGGGACGTTATATCTCGAGAAGTAACTTTTTTTTTTTATCTTAGAGACTGTGGTCTATTAAAAGCTGAATAATTAACTAATATCTAAACATAATTGTAATATTGAGACATTAAAGCATTGTTGAAAAACAGATTTTTTAATTTGACATTCACTTTATAATTGTAGGATTCATAGAAAAAAAGTTATAAACCGTCAAAAAGCACCAAAACGTCATGCACGGTGTGGTTGTACCTTAAAGGAAACCGCGTATTTAACATGTGTTAGGCCGGTTTTGGAATATGCCTGTGCCGTCTGGGACCGGGAACAAAAAACATTAATAGGCAGACTTGAAGAAAATACAAAATAGGGCTGCTAGGTTCGTTCTGGGACGGTAAGGGCGAAGAGACAGCTGTACTCAAATGAAGACTGAACTGAAT